CTTCAAATAGAACCACGAAAGGAGAGACTAAATCACTCATCCCTATCAACAGGTTTGAAGAGTTAGTATCCTAAACCAATAAAACCTCATTGAATTTTCTTTCAATTAACATATCTAAAATATAAAAGTTAAGAGATGTATGGAACCTTGGCAATAACCAGTTCCAGGATCAACCCAAGCATAAACCGCAAGGATATCCGACATTCTTCCTAGATTTCCTGGATCCTCATAAAACTCAAGGTGGCTATCCGTCCTTACGACATCAACAACTGTGGAAACAAGAAAGTTTAACTATGAAATGCAAGCTATGACAGAAGAAGGAAGATTTTTGCAAGTTCTCATGACAAAAGATACAAGGAACCTACCTATCCGATGCAATGTCCAAAGCCATTCAGACACTCGATCTTCCGTGACATTCGCAACACGAGAGGGAGTCTCCTTTACTGATGCCATTTCAGGGGCATCTGATATTCTCAAGCCATCAACTATCTCTGTATTCCGACCAGTATAAGACGATGGTCCAACAGAACCTGGTTGCATCACTTCGATCTCTGAAGTGGACCTACGCTGTTCTCTAACTAAATCAGCATTCTTATCAATTCGAAAATTGTGCATTCCCTCTTCCTCAGATCTCAATTCACTTTTCAATGAAGCCTCCTCGTCTGGCGTAGAAACCTCTATCTTATCTAAACTATTCCTCCCAAACAAATCTGTAACCGGTAGCGAAGGAAAGTCAAAATAACCGTCAGGGGAAGCAAAGCCATACGGACTAGAGGCAGAAACAAAAGAGGAAGTGTTGTATACTATGCTCTCCGGACTTTCTCTTCCGCTTACTAAATCAACAGACTCACTAGAACTTCCCCTTCTGTGTACATGAGAGGTATCAGTACCATTATTACTGTAATCACTGTGATGATTATCAGTATTAGCATTATCATTATTATCTATACAATCTTCTTCTCTGCTTTCATCTGTAGTAGCAACCTTTACTGTTTCATCTCTATAAGATTTCCGCATATCCATAACTTTAGACCCCACAACATAAGCAAGTGAGCCAGTTCCCACACTTGAATGCATCGTCTGGCATTGCTTGAGCAAATCATTGTACCGCTTCCTGCGTGAAAATTCAAACAAAACTTTTAAGCTTTTTGATTAGACCTAACTTGCTATTAGCACTCTCTCTCTCTCTCTCTCACTCTAAGCTCTGATAATAATATATTAACTCAGTTGAACAGTCTAACCTTCGAGCTACCCTGAGTTGATTACGGTACTCAGAGGTACTGCTCAATGCATAACAACCAAGGAGGAATTCCCAAACTTCAGCTCTGATAGACGGATCAATCCCCTAATGAAGAACAACATCATACATTAGAGCACTCTATCGAAAGAATAACCAAATTTGCTACAAATTCTTATAGAAAAAGAAGAAGAACATACCCCCAAAATAATTAATTTAAGCGCCTTTTGGAAACCAGAAACTCTTCCGTCACTATCAAAAGACGCTTGCCACTTCTCAGGCTTAAGCATTTTGCCGATCTGTGCATTATAAGCCAACTGCTTAGTCATACAATTACATAAGAAACATTTGATTGTAAAAATGATTACGAATGCTGAATAGAAAAGTGGTAAAAGAAGAAGATCTTACAGTTATAACAACCTGTATCCGCGATTGTGAAAGACAAGGCTCGCTCAAATCTCGAACCAGAGATCCAACTTTCTGTAAACTGACTACACCCGCTTTTCCACAACTCCATTGTTTTCCTTCTCCACCAGAACACATCAGTCCTCACTTCCCAACTCTTTCTGCAAACATCACATAACCCAAAATTTAAGAAACCACATTAATCAAGATCCCAATAACCAAAACCAGCCAAAAACCAAAAGGGTCCAGATCAAAATTCACCATTACATCATCCAACAGAATCACAGATCTTACTGTAACCAAAATCACATTTCTTTTCCAGATATAAAGAGTTTGGCGTCAAATAAGTTACACGATTCAGATTTCACGAATGAAAAACCATCGATCAGATCACTCGAATCGATCAGGTTGAATTGCATTTCATCCCCAACACATAGACGAGTTTCAATATACACAAAACAAGAAGAGAAAAATGAAAACAGAAACTTTCCTTAAGCTTTACAATAAATACATTTTTGCCCGTTCAGATACACATACATATTTGTGTTAATGTCGTTTGATAACATTGATCCATGTCGGAAAGCTAAGAGAAGAACCTGAATGGTCAATGGTCATGGAGGAGGATATTCTTCTCCGATCTCCATTTTTTTCATCGACGCTAAAGTTTTCTCCCTTTTTTTTTTTTTTTTCTTCTCGTCGTCGTCGTCGTCTCTCTCTTCTGATAATTTTTTTTTTGGTTCTTCTCTCTCTCTCTCTCCCTTGTTTTTGTTTTTTTTTTGTTTCTCTCTCGAGTTTCCGAATTGGTTTAATTTTACATAAACAAATACATTTGTTCTTGTTTTCTGCCTTTTATTTAGGCTGAGGTTGATTAATTTAATTAATAAGCTGTAATGTATATATATATATATCTTGGAAAATAAAATGAGGAGTGATAATAATTGATACTGATAGGAATTAGGAACGAGTTGAAAAGTCGGTGCTATAATTCATAATTAATGGAGATATCAGTTACATGTAATGTTCCAATGTTTATAATATATATCAGTTGAAGTAGTAGATCAAGTGTTTTTGTAACGAACGTCACTAGACCAGTGATTTACAAATAGAAGACGAAGATTATGTACTGAAATTATAATTCGATCGTTAAGACTTAAGAGTGTTTTTTTTTTTTCTTTTGGCATAGTGAACAAAATACATACACAACATTGGGCCTCTCGGACATTGTTAGACGTTTAGACTTTTCACTCCATTACCTACATTGGGCCTGGATAGTTATAGATATCGGATTCGTAAGGAAAAAATAAAATTAACAAACTTAATTTTCTTAAATGAAAGAAAAAATAAAAATGTAATTTCCCAGGTTTTAGAGTTATGAGTAAACAAGTTATCTATTTTTTTGGTACACATGCATGTGAATTAAAATGATAATACTCCTTTTTTGTTCTTTTAGAAGGCGTTTTCATTCACACCTAAAAAAAATTCATCGGGAAAAAAATAGATATCATCAATTAATCACACTTCTTTTTTTGTTTTAGTCAATTTATCACACAGAGAATCATATATAGAGCCATAGAGGATGAGAATCAGAAAAAATTATATCGAACATCCACGTACCTGCTTCTAGATGTTTTCATACCTCTTTTGCAAACCAAATTGAGTTTTTAATGAAGTTTATTGATTTTGTTTTATCTCTAAATATATATTTTACTTTTTGAATCCTAGTGGATTATTAAACATATGCGTTTTTAGATACATGTGTTCTCTCTAATGTCAATATAAGAGATATTAAATAAATAAAAAACAGATTCGTGTGTTCTCTTTTTCTACATGTTTATGGTCGTCTAGTGCAGCTCTACAGTTGTTTATTTGGACATCTTAATTATTTTATCACACTACATTTTGATAACAATCATGTAATAAGATATTTCACATCATACGTATATATTGACAAGATTAGAGCAAATAGGGAGACAAGCAAAGTCCTACAAGTTATATACATACTATATAGCCTTAGCCTAAGCCTAGCTGTATATTGTTGAAGATTCCACGTACGCTTAGAGAGAATCTTGAAAGAGAATTCGAATCTCCAAAGTATAGAATCTTATGGACGGCCAAGATTCACAGTATTATCAAAGCTTTGGTCATGTCATTAACTTGATTAATATATGTGGAGAATAATGTAAGACGAGACGAAGTGGGTCATTCGTGACATCAGTCTAACAATATAATATACTTAGTCACATATATTAACGTGCAATTAAATGGATTTTAAGCCAAGAAAATGAGATAAAAGTGGGTCCAATTCATATCTTTGTTTGATCTCCTAATACTAAAATAAGATTATGAAAATTGATAACTTTAATCTTAGTGTTCTCTCTCTCGTTCTGACTCCTGAGAGCTTTATGCCTTTATACAGATCAGATAGTTTGTTCAAGATATATTGAAATGGATGTGAGTGGGGCATTTGATGATTGTTGTATTATTGATTTCTGACCACATATGTTTGTTTAGTTTAAAGGTTTGCACAAATCATTCCAAAATGTAAAATCTAGTTAGCTATATAATTAACTTTTTCAAAAACATACTCGAAAACTATAATATTTCGCTATGTCTTTTCAATAATTATCTACTTTCAACTATTTGTATACGTGTTGTATTGCCACTCCAAGTCTACAAGATAAAGCTTCTTGTCTTCCGAATGCATGCTTTTAACATAGATAGATTAGGTACGAAGCTTTTAGCATATATAGATATTTGTGTTTGATCGATAAAGAATAAGATATGGTTCGTACGTCATATATATTGCAAGTACGTTGATACTAATTATATTATTTATAACCGAATCCAAATTGAAGTGTTCTTTGATACTTTCTCGTCAATACCATGAGTTACATGTTTGTATTAGTGTTATTACTACAGTAAATCCCTAAACAAATATATATAAAATTAGGAGTAATGTCGGTTTTGTAGAACGTACAACTGAGATATGAAGAAGATACCGTGTCCAAGGATTCTTAAATTTAAAATATAAAAAAAGATAATATTTGGATAAAAATATAAATCCCAGTTACCATCACGTCTTCACACGTGGATGACTCAAACTTAAAACGCATCGTTTGTGTTGCGTTGCTGACGCAAGATGAACCAAAGGCTCTGAGAGAAAGAGAGAGAAGAAGAAGAAGAAAACGAATCGATCTGTGTTTTCTGAAGAAAGCTTATTATTATTTTTTCTTCCGTTGCAAAAGCTTACGGAGTCGTCTCCTTGCTCCATTAATGGAAGCGGCCTTATTTCACTCTTGCTGATGTACACAGTTGCTTCCACGAGCTTCTTTTTTCAAGTGTAAGATGCGTGATTTCAGCTTATCGAAACATTTCGAACTTTCTATTTTTCTTTTTAGCTTAAAGCTCAAAGTTTCTCTCTCTCTCTCTCTCTCTCTCTCTCTCTCTCTCTCTCTCTCTCTCTCGTTGCGGCAATTTCTCTCCGGGAAGACCAGTCCTCGTGTAGTTTTCGTCTCTGTTTTTGAACTTTTCTGCCGTCTCTGAGTTTGTTTTTCTATGTGTAGGAACTTGGAACTTTGTTCTCTTTTGAGACTGTTCTGGAACTGCCTTTTTGTAAATTTTGGATTTTTTTTCGCAATTCGGTGAGAAGTGCGTGTCGTTGGTTGCTGTTAAGGGAATGTGCTGCTGATTTCGCATTTGTGGGATTTTGGGCTTTTTGTCTTATTTTGTGCGGTGCTGTTTGTCTTCTTTGAAAGTTTCCCCCTTTTTTTTATAAGATTGTGTTCAGAGCTAAGTTTACTGATATCAATGACGTCTTCTCTGTTGTAGGTTACTGGTGGAGGTGTGATTCATTAATTTTGCTTCGCTGTGGGATCTTCCAAGTATCCCTTTCGTATGTAAGATTCTAATTTGAAGATTCTGTCTTTGATCAATGTTGTGTAATTCATCTTGATGTATTGTATTGTTGTCATACTCTTAGGAGTTTGGATCTGTCATCAAGAAAATGGAAAACCCCTTTGCTTCCAGAGAGAAGGGGTTTGGCTATCAAGATATTCCAACAGAACAGATGGATGGTTTAAGCACGTCGTTTGGTTCTGGTCTTAGGAATTTGATCTCTGATGATTTGCTCAACTCTTCCTCCGAGCTTATGAATTTCGACTCTTTTGCCGCATGGTGTAACAGCCCTTCTGCCACTGATATCTTGTTCTCTCAGTATGGTCTGTCGACCTCTCAACCTATGCCTTTTGGCGCTTTCACTTCAATTCATGCAGCTGACCCCAAGGGTACCAGTCTAGCTCGCTCATTCCATGATTTGGAAAGCTCTTACTTTGGTGAAGAAAGATCATCAGTACAGGATATGAGCTCTCAGTTACATAGCTCATTAGATAGTGAGGAGTTAAGTGGTAAACGGCGCAGGGTTAGTAATCAGAAGATTGGCTTTCCTAACGTACTCGACTGTACTATTCCCAGGTCTTTAAGTCACTCACTAGATGAGAAGATGCTTAAGGCATTAAGCTTATTTATGGAGTCCTCAGGTTCAGGAGAGGGTATTCTAGCTCAAGTTTGGACGCCTATCAAGACAGGAGACCAGTATGTGCTTAGTACTTGTGATCAAGCCTATTTGCTTGACCCGAGGCTTTCTCAGTACCGTGAAGTGTCAAGGAAATTTACGTTTGCTGCTGAAGCAAATCATTGTTCTTTTCCGGGTCTTCCTGGCCGAGTCTTTATCTCGGGAGTGCCTGAATGGACATCAAACGTTATGTATTACAAGAAGGATGAGTATTTGCGCATGAAGCATGCAATTGATAATGAAGTCCGTGGTTCCATAGCAATACCTGTTCTTGAAGAGTCTGGGACATCTTGTTGTGCTGTCATGGAATTCGTTACATCTAAGGAAAAACCCAATTTTCATATGGAGATGGACTCTGTTTGCCGCGCTCTGCAGGTTGATTCTCTCTTCTCTATCTGTTACTCTCTCTGTCTTTCTCTTTGCGTATATATATGTTTGTGTGGGTTACTGCAGCCACTTAGGTTGTTGTAATTCATTAGTTAGTCCCCCAGACTAAAGTTTGTCTTGTGTTTTTTCATTCTCACACAACATTGCTTTTATCACGTTCAACACATAACTGGTAGAATTTAAGGTCAAAAGAAAAAAGAACCAGTTTGATCTATGCGGGTTTTAGGCTCTCCCAAACTTGGCAAAACTATTGAACATAGAGAACTTGTGTTTTGAACTATCTGGATTTGATGTTTTTTGCAGAAGCAAGTGCATAAAACAAATTTTAATTCTTATGCTAGCTTGATTTAGGGTATGAGAATCTTTGTTGGCTTAAGACCTTCCTGAGTCCTCTGCCTTTGTCAATGAAAGCTTTCATGGCAGCTCTGGAGACAGTTTGTTGTGGTTGCAACCTGAGGTTACAAAACGCAGTTATTGAATACTTGTATTGTACCAAAAAATGTTGAAAAATAATAATATGAAACAGTACGTGGTCGCAGGGATTCATGTTTTCCTTTTCTTTTCTTTTCAGGCTGTAAACTTACGGACATCAGCGATTCCTCGTCCTCAGGTAACATCTGAACTAGACAAAAACTATCTACAAACCATTAATTCTCGTTATTGCCTCAATAATTTTGTATTTATGTTTTCCAGTACCTTTCAACTAATCAAAGAGATGCTTTAGCTGAAATACAAGATGTTCTCCGAGCAGTATGTCATGCGCACAAGTTGCCATTAGCTCATACCTGGATTCCTTGTAGAAAGGATCGATCTATAAGGGTTTCTGGTCCAAATTCAGGTGAAAATTGTGTCCTTTGCATAGAGGAGACGGCTTGTTATGTGAATGATATGGAGATGGAAGGATTTGTGAACGCATGTTTGGAGCATTGTCTACGAGAAAAGGAAGGAATTGTTGGTAAAGCTTTCATATCCGACCAGCCGTTCTTTTCTTCTGATGTAAAGGCATATGACATCAGTGAGTACCCTCTCGTTCAGCACGCTCGAAAGTACGGTCTGAATGCTGCTGTCGCAATAAAACTGAGGAGCACGTACACTGGTGAAGATGATTACATACTTGAACTATTCTTGCCTGTAAGTATGAAAGGAAGCCTGGAACAACAGCTTCTATTAGACAGCCTTTCGGGTACAATGCAGAGAATTTGTCGAACTTTGAGAACTGTTTCAGAAGTGAGGTCAACTAAAAAAGAAGTGACCAAACCTGGATTTCGGAGTGGTGAGATATCTAATTTCCCGCAGACCACATGTTCGTCGAACTTTCTGACAACATCATTAGATTCCGAATATCACTCTACTCGAAGCATATTTTCGGGCATGTCCTCTGATAAAGATAACGGTGTCACAGTATCCCAAGGCACTTTAGAGCAGGTATGTGATGTATGCAGTTTGGTTCGTCTGTGGATTTTCTGAACTAATTTGGTAGATTAATGCACTGATAAATTTTACTTTCCATAGGATATGAGCAAAGCTAGAACACCAGAGAAGAAGAAAAGCACCACTGAGAAAAATGTGAGCTTAAGCATTCTCCAACAACATTTTTCCGGTAGTCTAAAGGATGCTGCAAAAAGCCTTGGTGGTGAGACTTCCACATTTTCCCATGCATGGTTTTGATTTTCTTACCGGACAAACTATCTAAACCTTGACTTGGATTCTTTTGCAGTTTGTCCAACTACACTAAAACGGATATGCAGGCAGCATGGGATCATGAGGTGGCCATCTCGTAAGATTAACAAAGTGAACAGGTCACTAAGGAAAATACAGACGGTACTTGACTCGGTCCAAGGTGTAGATGGAGGACTAAAATTCGATTCAGCAACTGGCGAATTTATTGCAGTTGGACCTTTTATCCAAGAATTTGATACCCAAAAGGGTCTGTCGTCTCATGGTAATGATGCACATGCAAGAAGAAGTCAGGAGGATATGACTGACACTGACGATACCTCGTTCGAGCTCCAGGAAGCTAAATCTGTCGACAATGCCGTTAAGTTAGAGGAGGATATTACCATGAACCAAGCAATACCAGGTAAGAACCTCTTTATACATAATCTAAACCATAGATGGAAGCAATTAGAATCTTAAGCCATTTTTTTTTTTTGCAGGTTCATTCATGGAGGTTAATGCTAGTGATCAGCCATGGGCTTGGATGGCCGAACAGTCCAGCTTAAATGGCAGTGAAGGAATAAAGAGCGTTTGCAACTTAAGCTCTCTGGCACTTTCAGATGGAATGGATCCAACGATCAGATGCAATGGCAGTATTGTTGAACCTAACCACTCTCTGTCATGTAGCATATCGGATTCATCAAATGGCTCAGGTGCAGTTATGCGTGGAAGCTCATCTACTTCCGTGGAAGATTGGAACCAAAGGAGAACACAAAACAATAATAGCGGCGAGAGTGGATCAACAATGCTGATTGTAAAGGCCACATATAGAGAAGACACTGTACGTTTCAAGTTCGAGCCATCGGTTGGGTGTCCTCAGCTCTACAAAGAAGTTGGAAAACGTTTCAAACTGCAAGACGGGTCCTTTCAACTGAAGTACTTGGATGATGAAGAAGAATGGGTGATGCTGGTTACAGATTCTGATCTCCAAGAATGCTTGGAGATATTATATGGTATGGGAAAACACTCTGTGAAGTTTATGGTTCGTGATATGCCTCCCCCTATAGGTAGTTCTGCTGGCAGCAACGGTTACCTTGGAACATGCTTATGACGTCTACTTCGTCGTCGTACAACATACACACACGGTTATGTCTTCCCCTGTGAAAGAACGTTGTTTATTTCTCCAAATATTAGTTTGCTTATAAAAAGGCGTAATGGAGAAAGACAATTTTGGTATAGTGGAGTCAGGTCAGCAGAATGTAAATGTTTCTCGTCTTATATGAATCAGAGAATAAAATTTGTGGGGTTGTAATCTGGGAAACACCTATTTACTGTAGTTATAATTAACCTGGAAAGATTACAACTTTGCTCATGATCAATTCAATCATATACTGTCAGTACTTGCGATGAAGCTTTCTTTTTTTCACTCACTGCAGCAACACTCATGCGAAATATCAGTAAAAAGATCACTCTAGAGTCTAGAGATAAACGAGGCGATGTCTCAGCCTTGATTTAAACTTTGCTCGTACCTCTGTCATATGGGTTATGAAACGGTTTGTTTTCTGAAACATTTCAGGCAATTTTTGGATTATTTTAAAGGGGTTCTGAGTTATCAATTCTAATGGGCCAATAAAGCAGGCCCTGGTTTACTGTGAAAGTCAGTGAAGACTTTATTTTAGTTGGGCTTTAACCTTTTTAATATTGTGTCATTGGATTTAAGATAATGTAAGATATCTTTGATCAATTCAACCGTGAATCGAAATAGACAAAATTATGATGACGTGAAGATTAGTATAATTCATATCCATCTACGATGATGTGGTTGGCAGCTATAAGCGATCCGCAGATAATCAGTATTTTCATATCGACGTGGAAGACTTAGACCGTAACAATATATGTATAAACGATTCGAAGTCAAAACGAAAAGGTCAAAAATTCAAACTAACAGCTTTGAAAAATAAATCATTTAGTCCACAATCTGACTGGTTTAGTTTTGGTATGCTCCGGTTCTATATCACCAAACAAAGCGGTTTTGTCCTAAAGATCTTGATAAATAGCACCATGCAACACAAGAGTCAAGCACACATCAACAAACCCAAAGTTAGATAAAGAAAAAAGAAAAAGGCAAAGGCCATGAAATCTTTTTCCATCTTCGTTGTCTTTTTCATCTTCTTCTTGGTACTTTCCGGTAAGCAAACTCACTCTGCGTTTCTCTTGACATATAGTTAATAAACTAAGATTTATGTTTGTGTTTCCGTTTACAAAATTCTCTGTGATCATAGCAAATTGATGATATGTGATTCTATTTAATTTTCTTGTGTTGCAACAGACGTGCCAGATATAGAAGCACAAGGTACCGAGTGCTTGAAAGAATACGGTGGTAATGTTGGTTTCGGCTTTTGTGCGCCTCGGATATTTCCGACGTTTTGTTATACAAGATGCCGTGAGAACAAAGGAGCTAAAGGTGGAAGATGCCTTTGGGGACAAGGCGGTACTGTAAAGTGCTTATGCGACTTCTGCGACGATACACCCCGATAGTTAGATCTAAAATAATCGTTGATAAATGCACAATGATTGCAAACTACAGACGCATCCACCGTATACTACTTGAATCTTTTGTTATGTACTTGTTTCACAAGATTTAGTAACGTATCATGTAATAAGTGGATAATGTGAATTGTATAATGATGTGATAATGCAATAATGAATGTGAAATAATAATTATACAATAATGAGAAGTGTGCGACTTTTGTTTGTACGACTATATTTTGGTATAACTTTGACTAAGAAAAATAAACGTGCGACTTTAGTTGTATTAATAATTGTGTTTATAGTATCTATCCACATCTTCGTATGTGTTTACTATGCGGACCTGCAGCGTTCTGATACATTTGCGGCTATAGTTTAGCCGGTCAAAGATAAATTCCTAACGTCACATGTGAACGAGAGGTTTGAATTTGTAATACAAACGAATTCTAAATTTCCAATGTGACGTGGTTAATATTTTTACATGTCATTTTTATACTAAATTATTATGATTGTTATAATTAGATCCACTACAATATCTATTATATAATTCTTTTCAATAATATTAGAATGACAAAAAAATATCATTTTTTACTATAAGCACATGTAGCTGTATAGTTATAAAAAAAATATATATATATATATATTCAAATGGATATATATACAGCACGTGCTTCCTTTTTTGGTCTAAGACTCGCAAGTCATAAGTCTTCACACATAAATACATCATGTTAGGATTAGGCATAATAATTTGTAATCCCATAAGCCGAAAAGTTCCATCAAATTTAGACTAATTCAATTTCGATCTCCAACTTAAGCATGTGTTGTGCTTTAAAAACAGACATCGGTTGTTTCTCATGCAATAATATAAAAGGAAGGGAAAGAAAAACAATTAATATGTCAGTTTTCATAATTTTACTATATCGTGCAAGGTAGGTAAGTGGTGACTTTTATATTGATAGTGATGACCTCACTCATGACCACCAACGATAAATATAGCTTGGTGGCGCATTGATAAAGATAGATAGTTGCATCGCACCACAACAAGTGGTGAGCATGAGTCTCTCTCTCTCTATATACATATATGACGTTAATTCCAAAGTGTAAAGTGTAAACAAAGAGATTAGAAGACTAGAGAGAAGATGGGCATGGCAACGAAGTCAGTTTCTACCTTCGCCGTTTTTTTCATCTTCTTTTTGGTTGTCTTTGGTAATTTAACCAACTCCGTATATCTCACATATATTTTAGTTTAATTGGTAACAATATATCTCACATATTTGTTAAAAAAAATTGCGTTTTTGTTAGAAATGGTTCACAGCAAGTTCCACTATATGTGAGATGTATATGCTTAATTCACTTCATATGTTTAAGTGCAGAAGTGCCAGAGATATACGCGCAAGATAGCAAGTGTCTGAAAGAATACGGCGGTAACGTGGGTTTCAGCTATTGCGCACCTTTGATATTTCCATCCTTCTGTTATCGAAACTGTCGTAAGAACAAGGCCGCGAAGGGAGGAAGATGTCGTTCAGGGGGTCCAGGAGCTGGTGGTATGAAATGTTTATGCGACTACTGCAGCGACAAACCTTAAACCAGATCGTTATAGTACACGCTTTGGCCGCAAACGCAAAAGCAGCTACTCTATATTTTAATCTTGCATGTCCACTGCGTGTCCACTATGTGTCATGATTTGTGTAATACTAAAAGTTAATGGTTGGTTGTCCACTGAGTAACAATATATAGTAATGGATAAGTGAAATGTAAAATAAATAATCGTACGACTTTGTTTAAGTAATTATAATATGGCTAGATGATAAGTGCGGCTCGGCCTCCGGCTCCGTAATTCTGATTTGCCAAGACTCATAAGTGGATAATTTTGGTTTCATTCAGTTTCTTTTGGATAATTTTAGCATGTATACGGTTTTAAGAACAAAAGAAATTGGACTGTTGTGGACTTCGGTAAGATATTTTGTTTTTCTCATGCATGCAATTTGAAAGGAATACATGAAAAGATATGTGACGATCATTTACATACAGCAGACCCGGTTGACCGGTTCTAAGCTAGTGTTGGAGGAGCTTGAAGATAAAAGGCCCATTAAATTATACGGCCCAGATTGTAAAAAAGAGGATACTTTAAAATTTTGAATTGAAGTAAATACTAAAATACACATATATCATATAGCCCTGGGCAAAAAGCCCGTACCCGAAGCCCAAACCCGAACCCGGCCCGTTAGGCCCGTACCGAACCCGAACCCGACTAAAGAAAATACCCGAACGGGTTTTGATTTTAAAAATTCCGGGTTCGGGTTCGGGTTCGGGTAAACCCGAAAAACCCGATCATACCCGAAACCCGATTTTAAGTTTGTAAACCTGTACCCGATTTTAAGTTTGTAAACCCGTACCCGATTGTGAAGATTGTGAAAAATCGATTTCAAATGTGGGTGAATATTGTAAACCCGATTGTGAATATTTTCATTCCCAAATTCTTCAGTTAACGAAATCATAGGAGTCGATTTAGCTTCCATAACCAATTTTTTTTTCCCTTCAAAAGCTCTCAACAACACACAAACTGGATTCACAACATCCCAGAAAAGCTCCTCCTCCCTCTGAGGTTTCAAAGAATTATTCTGAGGTAAGTTTTCCATCTATGTCTCTCTCTCTCTCTCACGTACGTCTCTCTCTCTCTATCCCTCTCTCTCTAACGCTATGTGACTTGTGTGTTTGGAATCGTGTGTTTGGCTTCTTAGTTTGAGAATGGAATAATGGCATCGTGTGTTTGAAATAATGGAATCGTCTCTCTCTCTAACATTTACGCAGTCTGATAATGGAGTAATGTAATCGTGTGTGTGTGTTTTACTAGTTTGAAGCTTGTGTTTTATAGTTTTTAGATTCTTTCAATTTAGCTTTTAAAAAACGTTTTCTCATACTTAGTTGCTTACTATTAAACTAATATATTCTTCGATTGTTCAAACGTCATCTAGTGTTATTACTTATTAGAGTAGTAGTTCATTGCTCAAAAGGTTCTCAATTACGTGATTATGTAGGCAAATCAATTAACAATTATTGGTTAATACGGTTATTTAGAACCCGAAATAAAACCGAACCCGAACCCGAAAAACCCGACCCGAACCCGAACCCGTCCGAAAATATATGTATACCCGAATGGGTTTTAAAAGTCCAAACCCGAAAACCCGAAATCCCGAAAAGCCCGGCCCGAACCCGAACGGGCCCCCGAACGCCCAGGGCTAATATCATATATGTATGGTTGTGAACGACTTTAAAACATATTGCCTACAAGATTTGATTATATTCAAGAGGTTGTGGTCCAACATATTAGATTTTTTTTGGTGATGCCAGCTAACGACATTTATTCTCGTAATAAATGGTCAGTCTCAAGAACGAAAGATAAATAGCACCACAACCAGGGGTTGAGCATCATCAGAGCTACACATACATTATCAACTCCAAAGTGAAAGAGAGAATGGCCATGGCAACGAAGTTAGTTTCTACTCTAGTCATCTTTTTGGTCCTGGCTCTGGCCATCAATGGTAAACTAACAAACTCCATAGTATTCTCGCATATTTTGTTTAACTTTATGATTCATGTATAGGATCCATTGCATTGTGTATTTGTTGCAGACAATCAGTCATGCATGCATGCATATATATATGTGTGACATTTTATTGGCTTAACTGTATATATATATATATGTGCAGAAGTGCCGGGGACAGAAGCGCACAATGACGAGTGTCTGAAAGAATATGGTGGTAATGTTGGTTTCCCCTTTTGTGCCCCTCGGATATTTCCGTCGGTTTGTTATTCAAGGTGCCAAAGGGACAAGAACGCTCAAGGTGGAAAATGCGTATGGGGAGATTCCGGTGTTACATGCTTCTGCGACTTCTGCAGCGACCAACCTTCTATAAGTATTATCTGAGTCTTGCATGTGTGCGTGATAATCCAAGATAATATTCCAAAAAGTAATCCCAAATAATAATGTAACGATGAATAAGTAATGATATAAAATAAAATAAATAAACCTAAACCTGTTTGTGTTTGTTATTATTCTGATTGCTACGGATCTTTCAAAAAAGAAAAAGACAAAAAAAAAAAAAAAAAAAAAAAAAACTAGAAACTGGTCATAGATATATATATTTTTTAATTTCCTTCGAAATATTCATAGACGACAAGGGAAAAGATCGTACGGCTCTCGAATAATTTCCGGCTAAAACAACGGTTAATAATGAACTCTAGTTGTGACGTATCACATGTGAACGAAACATACAGTTCAATAGATTCGCTCCGTGACTCAAGAGAAGAGAGAGAAATGGGGATATCGGGTTCGAAGCGAGTCAGGACGACTCTATCCAACTCGCCCGAGTTTGACTCGGCTTGTGACTCAGCGTACGAGGAGTCTCTATCTCTCGCACAGCATGCTTTCGCCGGAGTTCGTCCTTACCAGCTTCTCTCCGCCGCGTCTCACATCCACCGGAATCTGTCCTCTCTCCGGTTCCCTCTAATCACAAGGTGGGTGTCTTCCCCTCCGAGTCAATCACAAGTGGACTCAGCTCTCCGATTCACCATCTCTCGAGTCGCGGCGGCGGAGGAGGAAGACGATGGTGAGATCCTCGGGCCAGAGGAGTTCAAGGAATGGGCTATGGAGGTTTTCACGGAATCCGTCGTGGGAAACGCGAGGAAGGCGATAGCGAGTCAGATACCATTAGGAATCGTCGGAATCGCTGGGATCGGTGCGGTGACTCGGTCTGGTCAAAACATGATCGGAGCAGCGATTGGTGTGTACGCAATTGGAGTTGCTACGTCGGTTTTTCTCAGCCTCTCTAATTAAAAACAAAACAAAAAAAAGATTAGTTTTGTTCGATCGTTACAATCATATAACATCTGTTTCATTAACCAAAGTAAACCATGATTATGCTGGGTTACTAGTTTTGTACTTTTGTTTCATATAAGATTGTTTGGAATTTTTATATAAATTATTTACAGGCAGACTGTAATGTAGACTATGTAGTACAGTAGTTATATATTTTGAACTTTATATGGCTATACTATTCGACTAGTGATTTTTTGTTTTTTTTTTTGGCCATTTATATCCTATCTTTAATAAGAGAAGAAAAGAATCGAGTATGCTTGATAAAAACGAATGGAGGTAAAAATAGACAAGGACTAAAATCGAATCTTTTGGTTTCTGAAATAATGGAGCTTCAGAATGACCCACGTGAAGTGAAAAATCACGTCTTAACCTGCAAGGGATCGAATCCACTATTAAAGATTTTAATAAAACTAGAAAAGAACCGTTTTCATGATTTTATCAATAATATAGATTCATTAAACTGTAATGTATGGTAGGAATTAGGATTATTTTACATGTATAGCAGTTCTAAGCCAAATGTTCGAGCCTTATAGGAGCTTGAGCAAGTACGTGGCTCATGTAGGAAGACTATAGATATTTTCAATTTTTGTAAGTTAATAACAGTCCTTGGTAGGGTCTAATGCAAAATAAAAATAAAAATATGCATACGGCTATAGCGATGCGTGTGTGACTTCGGGTCTACAACAAACGACAAAAGTAAACCGGACCACAATAAGTGCCGAGCATGAGTCCGTTTCACATACACATTAAATCCAAAGTAAAAGAGGAGAGAATAGAGACTAAACAGAGAGTAGCCTATGAGCATGGCAATGAAGTCAGTTTCTACCTTGGCTAACTCTGGTAAAATTACTGTGACTAACTCTTTTTCATCCTCTTTTTCATCTCTGGTAAAATTACTGTGACTAACTCTGTATCTCTCAGCTCGGTGATTGCAAATAACTTTCGTTATATGTGCTTAAAGTTTATCTCTATGTTTACGTGAGCCATGCAGAAGTATCTGATCAGATAGGAGCGCAGGATAGTAACCCGCAGTGCCTTAGAGAATACAGCGGTGCGCCTTTGAGCTATTGCACGGCTAGGATCTATCCGTCGCTGTGTTACCATAGATGCCGTTCGGAAAAGAGCGCGAAAGGTGGAAAATGCGACGGTCTTAAATGCTTCTGCGATTTCTGCAGCGGCAAAACTTCTGCCATCACTTTCTAATCAGTGTTTTAAATCTTGCATGTGTCCTGTGTAATGGTTTGTCTAATAATGAAATGTAATATGGTCCAACCAGTAATGTAATAATGAATCAGGGAAAATCAAATAAAGAAACGGTAAGACTTTGATCTTGTTACTAGTTACTACTACAATAAGTGAAGATATATACGTGCCACTCCGGTTTCTGTAAAATTGTCGGCAACTCACGAGTGAACAAGATATATTTTATTTGAAATACTAGATATTTTATTTTTTAATAATTTTAATAAAAATTATATTATATAGGTATAAAATCTTTATGATCACATCATATATTAAGGAACGGTCGAGGAATTGGTAGTAAGAGCAAAATGTTACTCATTTGAAAGTCTACGAATTTGAGCAAAAAAATCCAAGAAACGGAAGAATTAGCGTATTAATTGATGGAAATTATAATATTTATAAATTTTTACAAGATTTTTACAAAATTAACTAGGCCCGGACCCGCGCTACAGCGCGGGGGAAAAGTGTCAGTTTTTGTTTTTTTTTCTGAATTTTCAACCATCTTTAATATATTTATTTGGTAATAGTTTCGAATTTCTGGCTTGATTATAAAGCTAATATTTTCTTCAACGCTAACCTAACTCTAAGAAAATATTATCTATATAAATAAGTTTCTGCTACCAGAAAATTGTAACATAAACACAGATTTTACATTTTAACACGATAAGAAATAAGAAATCATTGGCTCTTTATTTGTTTACTCTAGAGATTTGCAACTTTACAAAACTGCATGAAAGGTCCAAGTTAAAATCATGTATTTATGATTATGCGGTGTACCGCGGGTTAATCCCTAAATTTTAAAAATGATTCATAGTATAATATTTATACATGTATATATGTCACATATTGTTCTAAAATTAACAATCCAACTAAAATCATACAATTTAAATAATTTTGAACATATTCGAAACCAACACAAAAAAATACAATCTAAAATGATAGAATTTAATTAATAATCAAAATAAAGTAAAATAAACACAAATAAATTATCCCACAACGTACAAATGACTAAAAGCCCGGTAATTTTCCACCGCGATGTAGCGCGGGTCCGAACCTAGCCATATATATCTTTAATAAAATCTTTCATTTTTATAGCCATATATATTCAAATTTTATTTTTCGAAACATTTAACTAATTAACATTTTTATTGATTATATTACCAGTATTTATGTATTTTAGATGCATTTTTATATTTGTTATACCAAATATTTTTAAATTATATTTTTCTATATATCAAATATTTAAACTTATAAAAAATTATAGTTTTTTTTTGTTTTTTCATATAAGAAATTAATATAATAATTAGAATATTTTTAAAATATTGAGATCTTTATATTCATAAACAAATTTTCCTTATAAGACATATTTTTTATTTAACATTAATATAGTTTCCTAAATGATAGGAATCTGGTGTATATTATTGAAATATTTGAAAAATATTTAACAAAAAATTTGGCAAGTATCCGATTGAAAATTTAACCCGGAATTTTTTGAAAAACCTGACCCGAATCCCTTGTGTACTTCTCTTTTACTATAGTAGGGATGAGTTTTAAAAAACTTTTACTCCGTTTGTCGGATGTCAGCTTTTATTATGTGTTTCTCTCGTGTTGTACATAGGAATAGGAAATAACACAAGTTTCTTTAGAAATAACATTTTGATAAGATTCGTAAAATTGTCTTATGTTTAATGAGATTGCTAAATATCCAATTTAAAGCATAATATTTTGATTAATAGATTGTTGACTAATCATATTGACAAACAATCTTTTTCAAAATTTATTTAATTAATTAATTTGTTTTAAAAAAAAAATCAACCAGACTGAACTATGCCATTTGAAACTTAAGCTTCGACACACACAAAAAGATGATTCAATCATGTTCCACCAAAAAAATCATCAGTTTATTTAGTTAGATTAAACAATTTAACACCAAATATGAAATTTAGCTTTTTCAGTCCATAAATCCGTAGAAGTAAACTCGATGGTGGGATCGATATCTTCAAAGCTAGGTGAGATGAAATTATTAAAACTTAAAAAAGGTTATGAGATTGGTGAAACTATGCTAGTCCCCAAACCCACCCACGGTAGAGTGAGGTCTACGAGAAATATACGTGTCAATCCGATTTAAACCGGGACATGAACCTATATATTCCGGTTAATTTGGAGAGTATGGTTATGATAACTGTTGACTCGTGGTTCTCGTGGTAATTAGTTTATAAATAGCACCACATCAAGTGTTGAGGATCAGTACACTTACACATAATCAACTCCAAAGTAAAAGAGAGAGAAAAAAAGAGAGAATGGCCATGGCAACTAAGTTAGTTTCTACTCTCGCCATCTTTTCCGTCCTCGTTCTGGTCATCTCTGGTAAACTAATTAACAACTTTCCTAATTCCTCGCATATTTTTGTGTTCAACTTTATGATTCATAGTGTATCTCTCTAGCAGTCAGTCATATATGTGAATCTATATATATATATATATATTTGCGCAGGAATGACCGGGACAGAAGCGCATGATGACGAGTGCCTGAAAGAATACGGTGGTGATGTTGGTTTCCAGCTCTGTGCGCCTCGGATTTATCCCTCGTTCTGTGTTCAAAGGTGCCGATCGGAGAAGGGTGCTAAAGGTGGAAAATGCATCTGGGGAGATGGCGTTGATGTTAAATGTTTATGCGACTTCTGCGGCGATGAAGTTACCGAACAGTACATAAGACAAGTCTAGATCTTGCAAATGTCATGGTTTGCGGAACGACCAAGGATAGTAATCCAATAAATAAATGTAACGATGGAATAAATAAATATAAAGCAACGCTAGACTTTGCTTTTGTGTTTTGTCTGTTTCCGTATTTCTGACCTCTACACGTGACGTGAACAAGAGATATTTTCTTAAAAAAACGAGTAATTAACATGAGTAGGATTTGTATTTATAATTTTAACTCGAGAAATAACTAAACTAATGTTGTTGGTCGTAAATCGCAATCTTATAAAAATTTATTTTTATAATAAATCATATATACGACTAATTTAAGACTAATTGAAGTTAATTAACTTTAGTTGACAGTTGTGACGTACTGACGTGTGAACAACAGTTGTAATCGTCGGAATCACTGGGATCGGACGCGGGGGACTCAAAACATAATCGGAGGAGCGACCGGTGAGTAGTGAGTACCCTAATGGAATTGCTACTTAGGTTTTTCCTCAGCCTCTCTAGTTAAAAAGGATCATCACTTTTGTTCTTCTTCCATTTTTGGACCTCCTTTTAGTAAATCCTTGTAGAATAGTAGTTTAACAATAATAGAACATCTGCTTCATTAATGAAGTTAAAAGTTCTAAAAAATTGAGTCTTTTGGTTTTAAGAGAAATATATATTGGAGCTTCAAAATGAGCACGTGAAAAATACGTCTTCCGAATTTTAGATTTGTCAAATCTACAAGGGACCATTATTGTTTTGTTTTTTGTTTTTTTCCTTTTTGGCTTCGAATATCATTTGTTAAAAATTAAATATACAATACTTTTATATAAAATTAATTGAACGAATCCTCATAAATCATTATAAAGAAACAGTAGTGGCCAAAAAACCTTCCACAGAGAAGCATAACGTGAAAAATGAAGTCTTTTTCCATCTTTCTTGCTCTGTTCGTCTTCTTCCTTGTCGTTCTTGGTAAATACTCCTGACTAATTATCTATATAGCAACTACATTATTACGAAGCTGCCACTGATCTCTCAACTCATATTACTATATGCAGAGGCGCCAGAGAAGATAGAAGCCGGCAACAAGTTCAAATGCGTGGTCGAGTACGGCGGTGACGTGGGTCCAACGTTCTGTAACCCTAAATTCTTCCCGACATTGTGCCGTCAGAATTGCCGGAGCTTCAAAGGTGCCAAAGGAGGTAAATGTGTGAAGCAGCCCAAACACAAACCTATCAAATGCTTCTGCGACTACTGCAAAGACGACTAGACTTCACAAAAAAACGCCTTAAATAAAAATAAAACCACTGGTTCTAGCTTCACTCTCCAAACGCAACCACCCCTTCTCGACCTAAATGTTTGTAATTTCCATATAAATTTTATAAATGTATCTTTGATGTTTATTTGTCCCAGCATTTTCATGTATTCTCGGCATCATAAATCATAACAATATTTCCCCAGTTGCTAAAAATAAAGGAACGTCTGTAAACAATGTTGTCCTAATTTTCATGTCTTATCAAAGAACATGATGAAAAGATAAGTGACAATCAGTAGTACGTAGGATCATTATGACAAGCTAGTGTCGGAGGAGCTTTAAACACAAGGCCCACAATGTAGAAAATACAGGATACTTTTAATTTTTATATTAAAGTAAACAACACACATCTAATAAAAATAAATAATGGATGGATTTTTCATATGAAATAAAACTATTAAAAAAATTATTAACAAATTTATTAGTTTATTTAAATCCAAACTAATACATAATTTTATTTTATAAAATTTATATTCTAATTATCCAACATAAACACAAACCTACGTATAACTTTGTTAATTATGAACTTTAAATCCTAAATTTTTTTTTAATTTAAACCTATATATATATATATCTTCGTTTCATTATACTTTACTCTTTATTTATAAATTTAAACTGACATATAATCTTGTTAAACTGTTATTATGGAGTTTCATAAGACCAGAAACGAAGTTATAAAGATTGAGTTTTTTAATTTTATGAAAAATAAATAATGGAGCTTTCAGAAGACCGTAAGAAAACGTCTTCCTAGACATATCTAGAACGCACCATTATTATTATTATTTTCCTTTTTGGCTTGGAATATTAGTTGTTTAATATACATATAAATATATACAAAAAAAATCTTATAAAATAATGAATCCCAACAAATCATTATAAAACAGTAATGGCCGTACAACCCTTATCCAGATTGTAGCAATACAGGATGCTTTTAAATAACACGTACGTGTATTGTTGATATATGATGCGATGTGTGTGTGTGTGCGCGCCTTTACAATTCCAAGATGTGGTCCTGTGGACCGAGCACAATAAAAAAGGTCAATTTTACTCTTGCAACGTCCTTGAACGATGCACAATAGCTAAACACACGGTTAAAGTAGTACAATTTATGAAAACATAATCTGTCGATTAATAAAAAGAGTAAGAGAATGCAAATCTAAGTGGAACTTATAAAAAAAAATAAAAAAAAATTAAGAGAGAATAATGTCCAATTAGAAGTTCGTTTTTGAATTCCAAGCAACACAACGATGAAGTTTCAGTCATCCAGCACTACCATCTTCCATGGAAGATAGTTGAAACCGTTTCTCCCCTCCGAGATATCGGAACAAAATTATGAAGACACAAGATCAGAATTCTAGAAAATAAGCCTTACATCACATGAGTAAAGCAGAAGAATCTTGAGGAGAGAAATCTGAAAGTTTTTGTGAACTCATGAGGGTGACGCAACGATGAAGAACATATCTCTAAACAGATTTATATAAGGATCATGAATTTTTTTGAAGATGTATCGTTTCCCAAAAGGACTTGTAGGAGGACACGATGTCACACTGTTCTGTTTTCTTTCCGTCGACTCTTAAGTTTTGATTTAGTTATTTTGCTTAATTCAGTAACTTATTTAATTAGTTTGGTTAGTTTTGATTAATCTTAATAAATTTTTAAATTACGCGTATACGATATTATTTGGTAAAATAACTTGTAAGGATGTTTAAACCATGATGGGATGTCGAATCCTTAATCCGTATCGATCTCCAAACGCAACTGCCCCTTATTCTCGCCGTAAATATATGTTTGTAATTTCCATACAAATTTATAAATGTAAGTTTGATGTAATAATGTCGTCCCAAAACATTTTCATGTGTGTCGGCATAATACGTTATCCTTTCATAATTATATGTGTTCATTATATTAAATCATAGCAATTTATTTGCTAAACATAAAGGAATTTTTGAAAACAGTTAATGCCGTCACAGTTTTTCATGTCTTTTATCAAGAATATGAAAAGATAAGCGAGAATTGATGGTACGATAGGATAATTTACATATAGCAGACCCGGTTCTAAGCTAGTGTTGGAGGAACTTGAACACATGCAACGCCCATACAAAAAAAAAAATTAATGTATATTATACGGCCCAGATTGTGGAAATACAGGATCATGTAAATTTCTTTTTAATTAAAGTAAATAACATGTATGTTGGTGAATCACTAATGTTGATCTACTATGACAGATATTGCGTAGAAGATATATATATATTCGAAGAGGGCTCTGGTCCAGCCTACTCGGTTTGTGGTGATGACAGCTAAGATAATTTACATACCCTGATTTAACTTTTTATCAAAGAAAAAAAAACAGAAAAAAAATTACGTACCTTCGTGAAAAATGCTCTGTCTCAACCGGAAAGATAAATAGCACGTACCAAGGGTTGAGCATCCAGTACCTACAATATTACCAACTCCAAAGTGAAAGAGAGAGAGAGAGAGAGAGAGAAAATGGCCATGGCAACGAAGTCAGTTTCTACTCTAGTCATCTTTTTGGTCCTGGCTCTGGCCATCAATGGTAAACTAACAAACTCCGTAGTATTCTCGCATATTTTGTTTAACTTGATGATTCATGTATAGGATCCATTGTGTATTTCTTGTAGCTAGTCATATATGTGAATTTTCATTTGCTTAAGTATATGGATGCAGTCTATGCAGAAATGCCAAAGACAGAAGCGAGTAAAGCCGCGTGCCTGAGAGAATACGTCGATGCGTCTCCATTCTTTTGTATGGATAGGATTTATCCGTCATTGTGTTATTATAAATGCCGTTCGGACGAGGGTGCTAAAGGTGGCAAATGCGATGATCTTACATGCTACTGCGATTTCTGCAGCAAGGAACCTAATTTCGAACAGTTTCTAAGAACCGTTGTTTGAATCTTGCGTGTATAATGTAATAATTATCAAATGTAAGCGTTGCAAGAAATAATGTTGCAATGATTAATAATAATAAGAAACGCTAGATGTTTCACGTTTGCTTATGAACTATTTTTACTAATTAATGTCTAAATGATATATAATATTTGGATGTCGATCTCCGTCGCACAGATCAAGCTGAGTCAAGAATTAATTCCATCTATTCTTCCTCTCTTTCGGCATTTGATACGCTAATTAAGTTGCAAAAATTGTTTTTTTTCTTCTAATTATGATGCAATTTCATATGTTATTGTAACAGATTGGCTTCCGCTTTATGTTTGAAGCTATCTAAACCCCACGAATATAATGAAGTTAGATGTGATTTTTATTGCATTCGATCATGACCAAACCGTACATTTCTGTATAATCCAGTCCACATGTAAATGGCCATATATCCGAAGAGATAAGAGTGTCTAGTTTCTGGAAAATATGGACGGACACAGTTATTTTGTGTAAAAACTAAATCTTGAAGTCTTGATTTTTTTTTTTTTTGGGATCATCAATTATTTCTCCAAATATGGCGAATTTTGATGTAATTTACTGACCGGTAGTAGTTATGTATTTTAACCTTTTCAGGTTCGACAACACTAGTGATTTTTTCTACCGTTTTTTACAAGAGACAATTACAGTAAAACCTCTATAAATTAATACTCGATAAATTAATAATCTCTATAAATTAATAAATTTCTCCGGTCCCAAGTTGGGACAAGTGTAATTTTAGACATATTTCGATATAATAATAAGATAATAATTTTTTAGAAAATCCTTTGTAAATATATGGTCCCATCAATATTATAAATTAATAATTAGGTAAAATTTTCAAAATAAATGTATATATAGACACATTAGTTTTTGTTAGATTTTATTTTTAATATTTTACTATATGAAAAATAGTTAGCATTCTCTTTTAATACATAATTATTATTATTTTATTTATAATTGAATATATAAAATACTAGTTATCATGATTAAATCTTATTTCTAAATATTGTTTTGAAAATATTTTCCAAATTAGGAATATCTCTCTATAAATTAATAATTAATAACTCTATAAATTAATAGATTTCCATGGTCCCAACATTATTAATGTATAGAGGTTTTACTGTAGTTCTATACTACTATTTAGAAAAATAATTAGCAAACCATATATAGTTTTTTCCATTTTGTAAAGGAAGAGAGAGAACATGGAATATTTATTATTTTTAGTCGATTATACCCTTTTTGTTTTAGCGGGATACATCTCTACGTAGCGGACGCATTACTGAATATCAAAGAGAGAGGGTGAGGGAGAGAGAGAAAGGGTGAGGGAGAGAGAACGAGAGAGTGAGGGAGAGGGAGGGAGACGAAAGAGAGATGGAGAGAAATAAACTTTGAATGAATCAATGCCCATAAGTTTTAAGATTTAAAAGATGATTATGTACAAGGATAATCTAGTCATGTTAACACTAATCGATGAATTCAGTTATTTACGAAAATGACATTTATCTTTTGATTTAATTCATTTATGGTCTTATGGTATGAGCCACAAATTCTCTTTTTACTATGTGTATATCCTATCTTAAAAATAAATAAATAAACACTGAAAAAAAATCTGAGTATATTTGGGGGAATAAACGAGAGACAATAATAGAGAGTTATAAGTTCCAAATATCGAATCTTTTGGTTTTGAAAGAAAGAAATAATGGAGCTTCAAAATGACCACGAGAAAAACGTCTTTACAATTGAAGACTTGTCAAATCTTAAAGCGACCATTCATGTTTCAGTTTTTGTTTTTTTTGTTTTTCCTTTTTGGCTTCTAAAATCATTTGTTTGAAGATAATATACAAATATGTGTTCAAAAAAAAAAAATAATAATAATATACAAATATATAATAAACGTATAATAATGTCCCAACAGTTCATGTATTATTATTGATTGTCGGCAAAATATGTTATCCTTTCATATGTATTAGACTATTTTTAGAAATAATAAATCATAACAAATTAACAATCCATTTGCTAAAAATAAAGGAACTTCTGTTTTTTTATAGTAATCATGCATCTTTTACAGTAAATAAATTGCAACAAATTTTGGGGCCTAATGGTACTGATGAACCGAAGAAAACTGAAGTTTCTATGACTAATGTAATATATTCTTCAATGGAATACACTTATACACCACGATATGTCGATATTATGGAGCCTCGGAGTAGCTTGAGTACATATGTACCAAAATATTCTTACAAAAAAAAAAAACAATCAGTTTATAACATGTATCTATATTAAGAACTATAAAAGATATTGCCTACAAAGGTTTTTTTTATAATCAAGCTAAGATATTTATCCTCGTGGTAAATGGTCAGTCTCAACGACAAATATAAATAGCCACGTACCATGACAAGGGTTGAGCATCAGTACCTACATCTACACATACATAATCAACTCAACAAAGAGATTAGAGACTCAAGACTGAAGCGAAAAAGAGAAGAAGGGCATAGCGAAGTCAGTTTCTACCTTCGCCATATTTTTCATCCTCTTTATGGTGGTCATCTCTGGTAAATTAACTACATATATAACTCCGTATTTTTCATATATTTATTATAAAAAAAAATTGATTCAAACAATCCATATAGAGTCATTTATGTGACTTTTTGTTTGCTTAAATCTATATATATGCATGAATATACGAGCAGAGATATCTGAGATAGAAGCGCATGATAGCGAGTGCCTGAAAGAATACGCCGATGGTGAGGAACAGAAGAAACCGAAGTTTCTTTAGTTAATGTAATAATAATTATAATATTCTTCAATGGAATGAAGCACAATGAGATAATAATATTATACACACGAATCTTGTAATTATGTGTTGAAATTTGAACTTAAGAAGAGTCTCATTCTTCGTCTGACTCAAGGCCTGGTATGTACTCTAAGCTCACGTCAAATACCACTGGACTGTTTGGTGCAACTCTTGGCCTCCCTGGAGCTGAGGTTAGACCCTTTGGAAAGGCCAACTTATGGTGTAACGTTTACAGAAAGTTAAAATTCAGAAAGTTAGAAGCTCTGTAACATTAAATGATTACTAAGTAAATCTTGATGAGCACTTACAGGCCCTGGAATGTAGAGTCTGCGTTTGCCACCTGCTCTCATGCTTAAGAGTCCTTCATCAAGTCCCTTGATCACCTGTTCAAATAATCAGAAACTACTTGTGCGGCTCCAATCCAATGAGCCAATGTAGATAGAAACAGCTGAAGATTACCTGGCCAGATCCAACGCGAAAGAGATACGGTAGACCTTTCTCCAAGGAACTGCAATTGAGTGAATGTGACCATTTGATAGTAGATTCATTCAGCTAATATGATCCCAGGATAAAAATCTATCAGCAAAGAAGGATTAAAATGTTCGATTTTAGCATGGATTGAGAAAGATCACCTGTCGAAAATTTGCCCTGATGGAACCATAGCCACATAGTTAGCAGCAACCTGCAACATTTTGAAACGTTTTACATCTATCTATCGCACAACGGGTTCCTTAAGTTGCAAACTTACAAAGGTTTGAATCATTCCTTACCTGAAAACCAACCGGGGGAGTCGGGCCTCTACCGACTTTTATATCCTTATATTGCAGTCCTGATTCTGTGGTTACCAATGGAACCTTCACTCAAAAGCAACAGAGAATCAAAAGGGTTGGTACAAAAGGTGGAATCAGTCCTGAATATGGCAAGGTTGCATAGAAAGGTGTTATGTGTGATCTCACCATACATTTTCAAGCTCTTTCTCGCATTCAGCTTCACAGAGTCTCGGTTTATCTTCTGGAGGCAAACCGGCTGCATAAGCCGCAAGTGAGCTCATTGATAAACCTCCTGAGACGCCGAGTACCAACAGCATTGCATCTCTACGAGTAGAGAGACTATTGAATTGACAGCTGTTCTCTCTTGTTTCTGAAGCGATGATTCGAAGCCCATACTTGACTCGTGTGGCTATATATCTTGATGTATTTCGATTCTTTACAGAGAGACCATCTCTAGACGCTGAAACTAAATTCCATAATTAAGAATGTCAGATTCCCAGAACTCAACTAAGAGCCAATTAATCATGTGAGTAACGAATTCTACAATTTCTAATTGCAACTATGCAAAGACACAAACGAGCTCGATAAAATCTGAACTGAACCGCCCTGATTTTAAGAGATTCAATAAAGGTGAGATTTTTATCTCTGAGAAAAGTGATTCAGCAGGAAAGAATCTAAAGATAATGAGAAACCCAGAATCCCAAAGTGGATAAGAACATACGAAAAATCTAATCTTTGGGGAAAAATCAGAAAATACCTAGTGGTAGCAGGAGAGATGGAGAAGAAGCTGCCATCTTTTTTGCTTGAGCTCCAGAGAATTTTACGATTCGGAAGATTTTTGCAGAAGAAGCTCGCTGACGAGCTTAGTGGATAACGAAATCTCTGGTTTTGTTTTGTGCGTACGGTTCTTGCTGACTTGGCCCGTATATAGTTTCTTAATTTTTCCAATTTCTTTTATGTCGTTAGAGGGGATATACTACTATATTAGGAAATTGAAACGTCAAGGAGTGGACAAGTAGGAAGATGAAACGGCACTACGTATCTTTGCTTGTTTACTTCTGTTTGGTTGAAACGGCAAGTAGTTTCCTATAATTACAAGAAGTGGGTCTACTTCACGGTCTTCACCTCCTGTAAAACGCCGTCGTCTCACTTTCTGTCTCGAACGGTTGAATTACAGAAGATATGCTTTTGAAAAAAAAAGAAAAAAAAAACAGAGAAGAGATGTTTAACGGGAAGGTAAATGTATCATATTTTATATCAAGAAAATATCAAAACAGAACAGTAGAATATAGTTTCGTCATATATGCTGACATAAGTAGCATATATGTTACATATAATGAAACTGCAAATAGTTATTATTTATACTGCAAGTAGACGTTTATTGGAAATCAATTTTATGTTTATAAATAGGAATCTTTTTATTGGCATTATAAAACACTATTAATGTATACCGTCATACTGATATGATATATTTTTCTTATGTGATGTCTTATTCTCAAATTGCCATATCATTGGCTGTTTCTAAATTCCGATGAATAGAGAGTGTAAACCCTAACAAGTGAGGTTATCTCCAGGTATAACTCCAAGCTTGGCACAATAGTCTTGGAAATACTTTACTCTGTTGGCGGCTTTCTCTGTAGAATCTCCTCCGCTACACTCCCTGCTATTCACAGCCCTGATAGTCGCTCCAAAGCCTGATTTAAAACTCGTGCGAACATTAGTGGTCCAAAACCAGAAAGCCGTTTTGAAGGCAAGAACTGGATCTTGAGCCACTTTCTCTGGTGAAGCCAATATGTTTTCCTTCAGGTCTCTGCCACAAAGACCGTAGTTGTAGTTCCAAGAGAGCTGGATCGCACCACGACCATAGTAACCCTTTCCTGGTGCACATGGGAATTCTTGTTTCTCTAAGTCGCAGTATTCTCCTTTTTCGGCCTTGGCTGGTCCATCGATTTCCTCAATGTAGCACAGAGCTACAGCAAGATATAATCAAATGGTCACAAAAACTAATGTCTAGTGGTGCGACATATAATATTTGCATGTAATAATTATTGATCTTGTTATCTTATATGAGAAAATTACTTACACGCTGTTTCTTGGGCGACGTGAGCGAAGAAGGCAGCGATTTCACGTTTGGAGATGGACGCACCGAAGCTAGGGTAGGAATTAGCTGCGGCAATGAAGGTGTCGCGACTGTAGAATCCTTTACCTGCACAATCACCTCTTTGGTTTGTTATAGAGTTAAAGAACTCTGGTGTCACCGTTCCTTCAAGTGAAACAGAAGGATCTCCACCTCCTCCACCGCTTTGGCAAGGTCCTGCCTGGCAGCCCTTGCCGCAGAATTCGTCGGTCGTACCGCAGTAACCATATTGGCTGCAACATAAGCCAGACGCGCAGCCACAGTTCTGAGCTGTGACCGGTCCGGAAACTGATAGGATCACGAAAAAGAGAGCTGTGAGAAATAGTGCAACTCGGTCATTTTGTGATGTGGTTTTAGCGTAATTGCCCATTGTTGTTCTGCGTGAGCGATAGAGAGATGTACATTAGCTGCGTGTTTTATAGATGAGAAGTTAATAGATAATGATGGTTCCGTGAAGAAAATGTATTGTGGTTCTTCAGTTAGCAAAAAAAAATGTATTGTGGTAAAATACAAAAGTATCTTGTATTTATTTTCTAAGTCAACGTCAATGCTAACGCCACGTATACTTAGTTCTTTTGCCCATCCGTCACGGTACGTTGGGAAATTTCAACACAAACATCGCTACGTTTGAATCTACAAATTCGTTAAATCATATATACTTTTGTTATTGTACAGCTGTCATGTAAACAATTAGTCTATAGAAAAATCATTAGATTTTTTTTTTAAACTATATATCAAATATAACATGTCGTGATAAAGTATTTTTTAAAAAAACGCAAGAAACTGTTTTGGGTTAAAAACAAAATATTTGCCTAGTTTAAGAAACAATTAAAATACGGTTGTGCAATATTAGATGACAATTTTAATCGGTGGAAGGTTGTAGTCAATTGGTTTTACTAATCCCATGTTGTGTGATAACTCAAATTAAAATTTGACAATAGACGTACGTGTGAAATTATTGTAAATAACAGGAAAAGTCATAAACTGCTGGCGAAACTTTTTGTTGAATAATAAGCCTTGTAAGAAGAAATGAATAATAATCCCATGACAATTAAAACACAAAGGAATGAATGCATTATTACTATTAGTAACCCATGAATAATACATAAGAATAGTCTTTCTTTTTTTTCTTTTTTTTTTTTTTGTCATCACATAAGAATAGTCTATGGTGTTGATCTTCTATTGAATAGTAAGACTTTCTTCATTCGTTCCAACCATTTAAAGTTATTATCATTGACTTGTAATCCGTAAGTCTATTCTTACTTGTGAAAAAGTTACTGTATATCCATTATTAATGTCTACAGCTATTTACGTCCCATTATTAGTTTCCTTTCCCCCACCGGCACTGATACATACTTACTACATTTGTTTGAATCGGAGCAGACAAGCTTAATTGATATAGTTGACTGAGACAAGGACGCCACCACCTAATAATGGTGAAAATAAGAAGAGAAAATTCATTTCACTTCTTCCTTGCAGCATAGTCTATCCGTGAAAGATACTAATCGACACAGAAGAGAAAGGGTGTAGTTAAAATTGTTAACTAAATTAAAGTTTTTTCTTTTGTGAATCTTAATGTGCGCAAATCCATGGCAGGGAGATGTGCTTTGCTTTTCCTCCTCGCTTCAGATTTCTTGGTCTCCGCCGGTACGTTTCCATTCCGAAACTCATGCATATATGGGGTCGGTCTAGCTTGTTTAATCTCTTAACGTTTTGTTATATGTATATAGTGACGTCGTCGAGGAACTTTACGATAGAGAACAATTGTGATTCCATCATATGGCCTGCTTCCTACTCCTACCAGGGATCGCTCGAAACAAATGGTTTCCGTCTCGAGAAGGGACAGAGGCGTACCATCAAAGCGACGTCGTCATGGGTAGGTCAAATATGGGGTAGGACACTCTGCTCTACCAACTCATCAAGTGTCTTCTCATGTGTCACCGGAGACTGTGGCACCGGGAAAATCGAGTGCAACAAGACCGTCGTGGAACCGTTCATGTCGGCAACTTTGGCAACTTTGGCCGAGTTTAACCTCGCTGCGACTCCTGAGGATGGTGAAAATTATTACGACGTCAGCGTCATCTACGGTTACAACCTTCCTTTGCGTGTAACCCCTGAGAACCAAAAGTGTAAACCCATCAAATGCGTTGTTGACATAGACAAGAAGTGTCCGTCGGAGCTGATATTGAACGATAGTTCGAACAACCCATCTGCGTGTGAGACCCCGTGTCAGCAAAATGAGTTGCCGGAGCTTTGTTGTGTCGGACTCTACGTCGATGAAGATATCAGAGGACCGGAAAACTGTAATCGGACGATCTACTCGAAGACTTTCAACCACGAGTGCCGAGACGCTTATAGCTACGCTTACGACAATAAGTACTTCACATGTCCAGGCTCCTCCAACTTTGTCATCACGTTTTGCCCGTCTAGCACAACAAAACCAGGTTAGTACTCATCTCTCCATTATTTATGTTAGTGGGTAGTGATTTCTAGCTATAATGGAATAATTAATCTGTTGGCAAACTAAAGCAAATGAGCTATGTATATTGAGGATACGTAAATAAGTTACCTGTTGGAGAAGCAACAACGACTAGCAGGTCAAATTAAGGCCTCATCCAAAAACATTAATCTTTTAAGAAGACTCGAACTGGAGCAAAACGTTACTTTTATTCATTTTTGTGTTCGATCTACGGCAACGTACATAATTTTCACCTTTTAATTCATTGAAATCTTTGTTTGATTCATTTGCAGGAATATCCCCACGGAAGTTAAAACTCATACTTGGTACACTTCAACCTTGTGACATTACTCTGTCTTAGTCATTAATTTGTCATTAATATAACACCTAACTTTTGACGCTTGTTTTAATCTTGTAGGATTTTCATCAGCTTTTGCCACGATTATCATTGTTGCTATTGTGGTAAAAGTGAGAGCAAGTAATATGAGAAAGAGTGATCGGAATAGGAAGAACATGGAAGCAGTTGTAATGTTAAAACGATTTAGCTATTCGCAAGTCAAGAAGATGACAAAATCATTTGCGAATATTCTTGGGAAAGGGGGTTTTGGAACTGTATATAAAGGGAAGTTACCCGATGGTAGCCGAGATATTGCAGTGAAGATCTTGAATGAATCAAAGGGGAATGGGGAAGAGTTCATCAACGAAGTAGCTAGCATGAGTAGGACATCTCATGTTAATATTGTTGCTCTGCTTGGATTCTGCTACGAAGGGAGCAAGAAAGCTATAATATACGAGTTCATGCCGAACGGATCCCTCGACAAGTTCATCTCTGAGAAGATGTCGGAGAAGATGGACTGGAAAACGTTGTACAACATTGCGGTAGGTGTGTCTCGTGGCCTGGAATACTTGCACAACCGTTGTGTATCGAGGATTGTACATTTTGATATAAAACCGCAAAACATTCTCATGGATGGAGAGTTTTGCCCCAAGATATCGGATTTCGGTCTTGCTAGGCTAGGCAAAAATAATGAAAGCATAATGTCAATGCTAGACGCAAGAGGCACAATAGGGTACATTGCTCCAGAAGTGTTTTCCAAGAATTTTGGAGGCGTTTCTCATAAATCGGATGTATATAGTTATGGAATGGTGGTGCTCGAGATGATTGGAGCACGAGACAACAACACTCAAAATGCTGGAACCAACAACACCTCCTCAATGTATTTCCCAGATTGGATTTATAAGGATTTTGAGAAGGGAGAAATCATGAGTAGTGTTTTTGCAGATCAGATAACAGAAGAAGAAGATGAGAAGATAGTAAAGAAAATGGTATTGGTTGGTTTGTGGTGTATTCAGACCAATCCATATGACCGTCCACCAATGAACAAAGTCGTTGAAATGTTAGAGGGAAGTCTAGAGGCTCTTGAGATTCCACCTAAGCCTCTTTTATTTTCACCTGCATCATCATCAACAACAGGTACAAAAACTGCTCACGAGAGTCAAGAGACTTCAAACTTCTCAGAACCAAGTCGAGACACACTACACTATTTTGAACAAGGTGTTCAAGATATTGAAGAAGAGAATCAAGATAGCTCAAGATCTTCCTAATTAAAACAAGAAAATGTGTTATCTTCTTCTTGCTGGGATCTTCTTACCCATTTGTTGACGAATTCAAATATTTAATTTTTGCTGATATTCACCTTCATGCATGTAGAAATGTAAAACCCCAAAAATATTATTCAATGCTTACAATAATAGAGAGTCTATGTTTTAGATTCCAACATCCGACATCGTTAATCAATATCATATATAAAATTTATAGTTTTCTTAGTCAATTAATTATAAGTTATATAATAACACTGTTTTTAAAATGAAGTAGCTTCATGCAGTTTTTTCTTGGGTTAATTGTCCGAAAAGATGGATAATATTATATGTGAAGAAAAGTCGTTGTGGTTATTTCTAAGTCATAGTCAGTACCACGTGTCCAATTATACCATAGAAAATTCAATATGTAAAATTCAATATATAAAATTCAACCATATAGCAAGTACCCCATTCATGTCAAGTCCATATCCCAAAGGCGAAACATAAACATATACACAGTTACAGTCCATTTCAATTTATAATATATTTTGACATCAGACTTCATGTATAAGTCTAAAAGTTACAACATGTTTTGTTTTGTATATTTATAAAAGCTATTACTAAAATACTAAAACTCCAGAAATATCACAAATTAAGTTTAAATTTATGGACAAGTTTGGGAAAAGTTTCTAAAAGATTATAAAGGGTGATAATGTATTTTTAGATATATCACATGGCCCTGGGTTTACAAAATATATATATATATATAAACACCTCCTATATTCTGAGAAACGCTTTCTTAATTACGATATCTTTTGAATGTTCTTGCAATTATCTTTAGAAACCCTATTTTCGTCGTATTTTAAGATATATCTTTATCTTCTTCCTTCCCTTTTTTTTTTGTTGTTTTTAATTTCATTATACGATGCCTTGTATTTTTTTGTCCAAAGTATTTGTTTAATTATAAATTTATACCTCTTTGTTATATTATATTTAGGCCTTGTAATAGATTTTTTTTTTTTACGTCTTCCATAACTCAAAAGAAAGAAGGTTCATAGCATAACAGGAATAAAAGGTAAGGAATACGGATATACTGTACTCATATACATACAGTTCTTTGAACTTCTGAAGCAATAATTAGGTTAGTGCCATTTTAACATGGTTACTACAACATTAAGTCTTCTTAAGAAAGAGGGAACAATGAAACCGGAACATAAGGACTACATACCAAATAGATAAATTATAAATCTTTATTAAGCCTTTTAACACCTAAGGTTTTGACCAGGGTCCACACCAAGCTGTTTACAATAGTCTATATACTGCTCAATCCTTGCATCGATCGCTCCTGAATTCTCACCGTTACAGTCCAAACCATTGACGGCCCTAATAGTTGCTCCAAATCCTTGGTTCAGTACCGGCCTTACGTAAGTCATCCAAAACCACAATCCAGTTTTAAATGCCACAGTTGAGTTGCTGCCAACTAGCTCGGGCTGGCGTAGAAGGTCGAGACCGATACCCTGACCACAAGTACCATAGTTGGAGTTCCCTGATAGTTGGATGGGGCCGCGACCATGATAGCTCTTGCCCTGTGCACATGGATATTGCTTGTTGCTCTCTTCACAGTAGTCACCTGACGTCCCGTTTACCGCGTCTATCTGGCAGAAATCTAAACGTAGAGACTTGTATATATGAAACTAAGTAATTTTTTGTTTTTAGTAAAATAATCGATCAGAATCCAAATCTTAAGATACCTCAAAAAAACATTAGTTCACAATCTACTAAATTTTATATGTAGCCGTTTCAGAACGGGGTAAACTCAAGATTTTTAATTTTTATTTTAGTATATCCAAAGAAAAAAAGGAATAAAGGGTTTAGTTTTTACGTACTTCCGGTCACGTAGGTAAAGTGAGCAAACATGGTAGCGATCTCGAGGCTGTTAACAGAGCTAGTGAAGTCAAAGGTATCATTAGCGGCTTTAAGGAAAGACTCACGAGTGTAGAATCTTTTTCCGGCGCAGTCGTTACTTGCTTTGCTAATAATATCGTTAAAGAACTGTTGTGTCACGATCCTGTCAACCGGAACTCTACTTCGTCTGCAAGGACCTGATCTGCAACCGGAACCACAGTATAGGTCGTTGATTCCACAATAACCATTCTGACTGCAGCAGAGGATCGGAGAGCAGCCGCAATACGCCTGGGCAGCAGTTTGAGAGTAGAAACCGAATAGGCAGATGAGAAAAATTGAAGAGACTTTTGTAAGAGCCATGTTTTTGTGTTATTGTTTGTGGTTGAGAACGCAGCGTACCGAGTATCTATGTTTTGTAATTTTATTGTAGGGATATAATTTCATCCGAATAAATTATTTCTACTGTATATTTTTATTATTTAATAACACACGGCTTTGACTTTGAAATTTTGCTCAAAGACTTTTATATGGTTGGTAATTGAATTTTTATATTTTTTCTTCGAACAACACAAATATGTCTAGTAACTGAATTTGCTGACGTTTGTAGTATGATCTACATCTACTAGAGGATCAAAGAATACAGCAAAATATTCATTAGATTCGTTAAAGATACATGACCTTTCCGCATAATAATAAGAAACCAGAACTTTAAAGGTTCCATTATGTCTTAGTTTTAAAGTTTGGCCAAACTCGGTCAATTGAAAGCCAACATCTTTTTGACTTGGTCGTCCCATTACCATCCATCTTTAGTGAATTTTTGAACATTGTGACTGACTAACTATTATTATCAACACAGTTGTGTTGGTTTACCATTCAGATCAATTTGGCAACACGGTTCACAAAAATATTGCGCCAAAAAGTCAACAGACATTTTAGTTATAATCTTTCATTTCGTTACATTGTTAATACAACATTAGTATTATATGATATATTTATCTCTGATATGCATGATATCTTATTCTTTTAGGTCAAACGTTTTCGTTTAAGATGGATAGAGAATACATCTTTAACAAGAGAGGTTATCTCCAGGTTCAACCCCAAGCTTGCCACAATAGTCTCGGTAATACTTAATCCTTTTGGCAACAGTTGCAGAATCTCCTCCGCTACACTCCATACCATTTATAGCCCTGATCGTCGCCCCAAATCCCTGATTGAAATTCTGGCGAACATTAGTGTTCCAAAACCAGAAAGCTGTCTTGAAAGCAAGAACTGGATCTTGAGCCACTTTCTCGGGTGATGTCAATAAGTTTTCGTTCAGCTCTCTGCCACAGAGACCGTAGTTGTAGTTCCAAGAGAGCTGGATCGGACCACGGCCATAATAGCCCTTTCCTTGTGCACAAGGGAAGTCTGTGTTGTCTTTGTCGCAGTAGTTCTCGGCCTTGGCTGGTCCATCAATCTCCTCAATGTAGCACATGACTGGTATAATCAAATAGTTACCAAAACGGATTCTAGTGGTGGCATATAATATGCATCAAAAAAATTTAAATCAAAACCAAACCAAAGTTTTATATAATATGATCGGTTATAGTATTTTAAACCAATTAAATTGGAAATAACAAAACTCCGTTACAATGATCTTTATATATTAGAAAAAGAGACATATACATTATAAATAATAAATTAAAGTATCTTTATCCACATTAATCGAATTGAATTCAAATTTTTGCCCAAAAAAGAAAACCAGTTATTAACGTTCAGTCATAAATTTTCAACCCCGATAAACCAAAAAAATAAAAATGAAAGAACCAGACCGAACCTAAATAACCAAATGTCCAAAAACCGAAGAGAGATTTACGTACATTCGGATTCATGGGTGACGTGAGCGAAGAAGGCAGCGATTTCGCGTTTGGAGATTGAAGCACCGAAGCTCTGGTACGAATTAGCTGCGGCGATGAAGGCGTTGTGAGAGTAGAATCCTTTACCTGCACAATCATCTCTTGCTTGGTTTATTATAGAGTTAAAGAACTCAGGTGTCACCGTTCCTTCAAGCGAATCAACATCTCCGCCGCTGGCGTCAACACCACCTCGACATGGGCCCTCACGGCAGCCATCGCCGCAGTAATCATCCGTCTGACCGCAGTAACCCCATTGGCTGCAGCAGAAGTCAGAGGCACAGCCACAGTTTTGGGAGGTCACAGGTTTGGAAACGGTCAGGATCAAGACAAGGAGAGTTGGGAGAAAAAGGGTGATCGTGTCTTTTCTTGTGGTGGATTTGGCGTAATTCGCCATCTTTGTTAGTGTGTGTGTGTGTCTGAGAGGGGTTTATTAGCTTTGTGTTTTATAGTGGAGATCAGCTGATTGTAACAGTGAGGGAGAATGTTGACTAATTTCTATGTCAACGTCAACTTATGTAGACTTTTTGTTCTGCCCCATTCATCACGTAGGAAAATTTCCACACAAACATCAAAATATTTCATTTACATATAATAAGAATTCAGAATAATTTGATCTTTAATCTTTGGACAAAAGTTAATTACTTTGGTAAGATTAAAGTTTGAAAGGTATTTTAATATGTTTCCCTTCAACATATCAAACAGAGGAGAGGATCGGAGAAGACGAGAAAGAAAAAAATATAACACGGGATTTTGCTATATTCAAGAGAATCCTTACTACACCTCCGTCAACTCTACACCAACGGTTGACTATAATCTTCTCAGAGGGTACACATCATCATCAATTCACTATTCAAGAGTTTGTTCTTATATAGAAAACAGAGCAGTACAGAGCTAAACATCGTTGGTTACAACTTCTGTATAAGTCGTTTTATTAATCTTTTAGTAACGTAACAACTTTTGTCAACATCACTTATTATTTCACCTTTAATACTCCTATATGTCCGAAGAGAGTTTTAGCAAGTGAGGTTGGCGCCAGGGTCAACACCAAGCTGACCACAATAGTTTCTATAATACCCAATTTTTGCATTCACCCCACCTACATTCTGACCGTCACATTCCATACCGCTGATGGCTCTTACGGTGGCTCCAAATCCCTGGTTCAAAACAGGCCTCACACTCGACATCCAAAACCACAAAGCCGCTCTGAAAGCCACAATTGGGTTACTGCTCACCAGCTCGGGCTGGCGTAGAAGGTCGAGGCCGAGACTCTGGCCGCATGGTCCGTAGTTGAAGTTCCATGATAGTTGTAACGGACCGCGACCATGGTAGCTCTTACCCGGTGCACATGGATATTGACGGCTGCCCTGGTTGCACAAGGTACGTGACGCTCCGCCTATCTCTTCTATGTAGCAGAAGTCTACACATACAAAGATGCAAATGAGACACACTAGTTAATTTTTGAACAAACGGACAAATTAAATAAAATCAATTGACATAATCTCCAAGGTTTGAGGCAATTAATCTCTTACGTCCTAGACAATGATTATTCAAATGTTCATATGACATAAAATTTAGCAATTATTTCAGACGCCAGTGTAGAGATACAAATGTTGCTTTGAGTTTTAATGAATATCATACTATTTTTTTTAGATGTCACAATCTACTAATGTTTTATGTGTATATTTTGACCAATATAGATGTACCCTAGCTAGAATATGCATTGTATATAAAAAAGAGCATCGAAAAAAAAAAACAAATTCTTACGTCCGGTCTGGTACGTGAAATGAGCAAACATGGTAGCAATTTCACGCCTAGTAACGGTATTAGCAAAGTTGGGGAAAGTATTGGTGGCGTTAATGAAAGAGTCGCGGGTGTAAAATCTTTTCCCAGCGCAGTTATTACCGGCTTGGTTGATAATTCCGTTAAAGAAACTTTGTGTCACAATGCTACCAATCAAACCAGCATCAGTTGGGGATCCATCTCCTCTACAAGGACCTGATCGGCACGTAGGACCACAGTGATCAGCAGTGGTACCGCAATAACCGAACTGACTGCAACATAGGTTTGGGGCGCAGTTGCAGTTTTGAGATTTTACGGTTTCAGAGCAGAAACCTAAGAGGGAGATGAGAAGTATTAAGAGGGTTGTTGTGAGAGCCATTGTTGGATTGTTCCTGTTGTTTGAAGAGATGGAATAGTTTGAGGTTATTATATAATTAAATGAGAGAGATATTGGGTAGACTGGTCATTTCATAAGGATGGGCAATCAATTGTGATTTTCTTTCTTTGACTTTTAAGTCTGCTGAAGATGTATGGCAAATTGGCAACTGATCTCATTTTCTTTCTAAAGCCAAATTATAGATAGCAGTCGATTGAAATTTATTGGTTGAAAATAATTGTTATTTACACATGGGATCTAATACATGGTTATGCATTCCACTTAAAAAACTGCATGTCTGATCACCCTAATTAACAAGATAATATAATATGGTAATATGTCGAAAACCTAAGAAACCAAGAACCGTGAATTTTAACGAGTCGAACACTTTAGTTCTCACTACATGTAAAATTCTGGTAGGCTATTCCATTTTTTTATTATTTTTTAGAGATTACTCTTGGCTGTTTTATGAGAGAAAGAAAAGCCACCCTGGCCTTCACGACGGCTGGGAACATCGAAACTGAAAAATTAATTGAAATTGACAACTCATTACTAAACGATCCAAAAAGATGTTGGAGTGTTCCTTCATTAATTACAAGAATACAAACCGAGTCCCCATTCAGTTGCCCCTCGACGCTCGAGCATTTTCTAAAAGCCGACTCTCAGGACAAGTCGTCGCATATTTTCATGATACATCTTCGCACAAATAGGTTAGCCATCATTTTGACTTTTCAACGTTGAAATTTTGGAACTAATTGAAATAAATAAAATACTTAATATTGTCACACATAAGATTTTCTTTGTTATTTACAAAAAAAAAAAAAACCAAAAAAAATATCATTTGCTAGTTTATACGTACCTTTCAAATTAAATATCGTTAGCAAATTATTAATTTACTTTATCAATGTAGTTTGGATTTAATTGTCCCCCGAGCCATGAATATAAGTTTAAATCTAGTGGACTATGATCTCATAAGAAGTTCAATCTTTTACTCTTTAAAAGACAAAAATTAGAAACTCATAGTATGAGTTTATGATATTCTATATTTTGGAGGGAACATTGCAAATGATTTATTAATGATGTTCTTCTTTAATTTTTTTAGTGCTTAAGAATTTAATATTATTTGTTTTTATTTTAGAATATAAATCAATAAACTCCAAAACATATAATATCACGAATTCTCACTAATATAAAACAAAAAAAAAATTATTGTTTCTGCAGTAAATATATAATTCACTCTTTATAGCTTGTTTATTGTGTGTAGTGCATATATAGTTTCAATTTTTCAATATTACAAGTTTACAACCAGATTGAGCTAAGAAAATTACTTCGATTTTATTTGGTACAACACAACTTATAGTTTCAATCTATCTGAGGTAAGAAATGATATGCTTTGAATTTATAACGTAAATGATCAGGAATATTGATGCTTTATACATACAACTCATGTATCCTACTAGATAATCATTCAACATTACGACCAGTGAAATACCAAAATTGAAATGTTTTTATATTTCTATAATTATTAAGTGAGTAATTTGTGAACGTGATAAGAGTACAACTAACCTCTTCCTATACGTCGTTGCCATTCTGGGGTTTACGTTTATTAAAACTACTAACGTGGTGTTTTGACGTGATAAATATAAGAATATAATGTTTTCAGAAAAAAAAAACAAGAATATTTATATATTTTTTCTTTTTTTGTAAAATAGAATATTTATATTACAATACCAATTCGTGCGGATATTATATATCCCAAAAGCAGATACTGTAAATGGCCAAGTCAAACATCTAGTAATCTTAAAATTCATTTTCATAAGAAGTCACAGAAGAAAAGAAATCACTTTCACAAGTTTATTACAACGATTTTTTTGCTTGTGACGCAGGGAACACTGAGACCCAACATATAGACGTTTGAAATTTGATTTTATTATCCCACTTATTAATCAAGCTTATCACGTGCCACGTCACGTGTGTACGTGTGGGTTGAAAGAGCTTTTTTAGCAACCGAGGTTAGGACCAGGATCCACACCAAGCTGTCCACAATAGTCTCTGTAGTATCTGATCCTTGCATTGACTGCACCTGAGTTTCCACCGTTACATTCCATTCCATTGATGGCTCTAATGGTGGCTCCAAATCCTTGGCTCAGAACTGGCCTTACGCTGTTCATCCAAAACCACAAAGCCGTTCTGAAAGCTACAGTTGGGTTGCTACCCACAAGTTCGGGCTGGCGTAGAAGGTCGAGACCGAGACTCTGACCACATGCTCCGTAGTTGTAGTTCCATGATAGTTGGATCGGACCACGACCAAAGTAGCCTTTGCCCGGTTGACATGGGTATTGTCTGTTGTTGCTCTGGCAGTAGTTACGTGACGCTCCGTTGATCTCTTCTATATAGCAGAAATCTGATACGTATGGAAACAGAAGAGTGCTTTAGAATGATCTAAACTGGTTGTGATCAAGTCCAAAAAAAAAGTAAGAGAAGAAAGCAAGAATACTTACGTCCAGTTTCGTGAGTGAAATGAGCAAACATGGTAGCAATTTCACGTCTAGTAACGGAATTAGCAAAGTTGGGGAAAGTATTAGCGGCGTTAACGAAAGAGTCACGGGTGTAGAATCTTTTTCCAGCGCAGCCACCATCAGCTTGGTTGATAATGTTGTTAAAGAAACCTTGTGTCAATATGCCACCGACTGATCCACCACCGGCCGAGCTTCCACTGCCTCTACACGGACCTGATCGGCATCCAGCACCACAGTATGCATCGTCGGTACCACAGTAACCGAACTGACTGCAGCATAGGTTTGGAGCGCAACCGCAGTTTTGAGACTTGACGGTTTCAGAGTGGAAAGCTAAGAAGAGACATAGAAGAAATACTAAGGAGATTTTTGCGAAAGCCATGTTTTGTGTGTTATTGTTTGTTGGATGAGAAGGAGAAGGAGAAGGAGCTCAGGTATATATAGGGATAGATGTTGGGTAGTTTGGTCATTTTCGCTTTTCTGAATTTATGTATTTTCAAACGAGTTTGACTTTTGGTCTTATTATTGCCCAAGATTAATAATAACGTGGACTTGGTCTAGGAATTCAATATATATATTTTATATAGAACACTTTTTTATAAAATATTTCTCGCTTCTGTAACATGATTTTTTATAACAAATTATAAGATTTCCCAATGATTGAACAAAAGGGGTTCGTTTCAATGTTTTGTTAATCTATTTTAGTACATGTATATATGCATAAGCTATATGAGTGATTTCTTTCCTTTTTCTTTTTCTATAAAGTATATGAGGGAAAAGTTAAGGTATAATTTGTATACGTAAAAAACTGTAAAGAGAATAGGGCTGCGAATCCAATCTGAGACACATACGAAAATTGACAGTTCGTTACTAAATGACAAAATAAAAATAAAATGACAGTCCATAGAGCTACTTGTCATTTAGCAACAAGTTAAGAACTTACAATAGGAACGACATATTAATATTCAATAATATTATTATTATAAATAGGAAAAAAATTCTGGATAATATATTTTAAGTATTATTTTCCAAAAATACCACAATTTTTTTTTTCAAAAATATCACGATCACGAAAATTTTGTTTTTCCAAAAAATACTATAAACATAAATATTTGATTTTTGAAAGTATAAAATATTTTTTATATTTTAGTTGATTATTTACATTTAAAATATAGTTTTTAGGAGAGAGTTTGGTGTTTAGAATTTAGAAATTAGTTTTAAATGTTAAAAATGTTAGATTTAAATTTGTTATATTTTTTGAAAAATGTATTTTAATGGTATTTTTGAAAAATAATACTTATAATTGTATTTTGGTAAAAAAAGTATGTATTTTAGTGGTATTTAAAAGAATTATTTATATATAAGTGCAACTATTGAGTATTTATATAATAATATATTATATTTTAATATAATTAGATAATATATTTAAAAAAAAGAAGAAGAAGAAAACAAGTTGGGAAGTCGCATCGCATGCATAGTCACTATAAATCTTTGTACCATGTGACTACGTGAGCCTACGGTTGGGTCCATTCCCCGGCGGCTATACAAATTCAAATGTATGATTTTCAGTTTTAAGTTGACAAAAAATTATACTCATCAGTTTTACTTATCTAACTTATTTTAAGTAGACATTTCGGTTGAACAAAAAAAAAAAAAGTAGATATTTCGTAACATGTTTCAAATTATTTGCCGGAATATACATGCCATCAATCAAATTAACGGTCTGGGTATTAAGTTGTATATTATATATACCTTTAACAAGAAACACAATATATTATAATTATATGATATGAACATTCTGAAAACCAAAAAGATTGTTAACAAGAGAAAGACATCAACAAGACTACCCATATTAATTACTAAAATTATTTGACTATATCTTTAATATATAAGGCTAAAACTAGCCGATACAAAGATGTCAAAATGCACAATTATGCAAGTTACGACTCATACGTTGAAAAGTCGACAGCAATTATTTTTGACAATTCAAAGCTCTCTCACTCATTTTCAATTTTGTTTTTTCGGGTGGGAGTGACAAAACTGTACCGGATGTTGTTTCTGGCTCGGTCACTCGACCGAACTTTCAGGGATCGTATGATTCAGCAACAAACTCATTCTCTTCCATTAAAACACTTCTAAGTTCTTTAAAAAAAAAAAAAAAAACTTGAATTTCTTATATATCGGTGTTTGCCCACCGAACATATAAAATTCAAAACATTCCTAGTCATAATCATAGTCATATATCCGCACTTTCAGGGATCGTATTATTCAACAATTGACTCATTCTCTTTTTGAAATACTTCAAATTCTTACTCTTTTATTTGTATCGGTGTTAGCCGGCCAAACATTTATTAAATATTCTATGGAATCATAGTCATAGTCATAAACATATAATCATGAGTATGATTTGTATGTTCATTTTCCTATTCTATCCATAAAAGAAGAATCTTAAATAGCGAAATTAAATTAACCTATACATATTCGCTGGGTATTATTACTAACTCATTCTTTCAAAATTTATTTCGGACGCATACTTTCATCTTAAAATTTAGTTTTAGTTAGGTGTATCGATCGTATTATAAAAATGATGTTTTAGTTTCATAGAGTAGAAATCCATGATTCATATTGACTGATTCTTCTGGTCTATAATGTACTCAAGTTTTATTTTGCCAACAAATCTATATACGTTACTGACTACTATTGTTTTAATTATAATCTCTTCAATTATTTGCGTTCTAGGAGGATCATCTCAACGCTACTGGTGAATCGACAGTCAATATATTCGAGAATTCGTCGACCACTTGCAAAGTTTTTTTTTTTTTTTTTAAATATGGACAATAAATTAATTAATTCTATATAGATGATGCTTCCCTCATACAATTTCACGAAGGGATAGATTGTAAGGGAGTTTTTCTTATATATTTTAAGTACCAATCAAATCATAAAATTTATGTGATTGATATTTGTATGTTATTATGAGGCAATTGTGAAAGTAATAGGAGTGCATATCGTTTTTTTTTTAACGTAAGTAATTAATTACCATATATCGGATAAAAATATAAGATAGTGGCAAGAAATTAGTAGAGAGGCGGCCTAGAGGGGCTAGAAGCCGACTTCACCTCTTACCGTGGAGTATCCGGCATTGCTTTATTGGCCATTTGGCCTACCACTAAATGATATGGCTCCTTGAACATCTTTTACTTTAGAAAAAAAAAAAAAATTTCTAAACACTGTTGGACGAGAAAAAAGAAAGAAAGTCAATTCCAAGTTTGCAACCAACGCATATGATTATGATTAATGGAACCCGGCCATCGGTATGGGTCTCATCCTCCTCTATAGTCTTCTATACACATTATCTAACTCTATGCCTCCATCCATAAGTGAATGGTTAAACACGTCATATTAACAAACTAATAAGTAACGTATCAACTTGTTTATCACTATTTAACCACTAAATTAATTTACTAAGGTTGTTGTGGCGCCATTTTTTTCTTTTTTTGTTTGCGTAATAAATACGACATTATGGCTTATATATTGCATGAGAGCGTAAGATTACTCGGTTGGAATTGGAGGTTGATTCGGAAATGGTGGTGGATTTTTTGACAACAGGGATTAGTGATACTCATCCGTTGTCTTTCCTAATACGTTTGTGCTATGGCTTTTTATCGAAAAACTGGATAGTTCGCATATCTCACGTGTATAGGGAAGCTAATCGTCTTGCCGACGGATTAGCAAACTATGCGTTCTCTTTACCTCCGGGTTTCCATGTGCTCAACGTCATACCAGATGAGGTGGTCTCGGTTCAGTGCGACGATGCTCAAGGTTCGGCGAGCTTGAGGAATGTTCGAGTGTAGTTTATTTTACTTAATTTTTTTGTTTTCTTTATTTTGGGAGACTTAGTCTCCCGTTTTCTCACCAAAAAAAAAAAAATTGTTGTAGACTATGTAAACCAAATCTGGTTACTCGGCTTATGGTCTAATCCTGGATCGGATGACTCGGATTATAGAAGTTACCGAAACAAAACTCACTATATGAAATATTATAATACATTTAGTTTGAATATCCCAAAGGCATATATTGTAGATGATGTCAAACTCAAACACTTATTAGTTGTTATTTATTAGTAAATCCACTCTCACAAGACTTGACAAAATATAAAGGAAATCACTTTCACAAGTCTACTGCGACAATTTTTGCTTCTGAAGCTGGGAACATTGAACTCAAAACAAAACACACATACGTGAGATATAACTTTATTTCATCTTATTTCCCACATCACAGGTGGTTAGTATATGTTGTGATACATTTTTAGCAGCTAATGTTAGGACCAGGGTTTACACCAAGCTGCCTACAATAGTCTCTATAGTATCTAATCCTCGCGTTGACTGCATCTGGATTCCTGCCGTTACATTCCATTCCATTGATGGCTCTAATGGTGGCTCCAAATCCTTGGCTCAGAACTGGCCTTACGCTATTCATCCAAAACCACAAACCCGTCCTGAAAGCCACAGTTGGGTTGCTACCCACCAGCTCGGGTTGGCGTAGAAGGTTAAGATTGAGACTCTGACCACATGGTCCGTAGTTGTAGTTCCAAGATAGCTGGATGGGACCACGACCGTAGTAGCCTTTGCCCGGTGCACATGGGTATTGCCTGTTGTTCTCGTCGCAGTAGTCACGTGACGCTCCGTTAATTTCCTCTATGTAGCAGAAATCTGTACGATATATAGAGATGCACATGAAACAAAGTTGATATGTGGTATTACATCGCATGTTTAATCTTATGTTTTAATTGATAATTCTAAGAAAAGTAAAGAATATAAAAAGAAAAAAGAAATCTTACGTCCGGTCTCATGGGTGAAGTGAGCAAACATGGTAGCAATTTCACGTCTAGTAACGGAATTAGCAAAGCTAGGGAAAGTATTAGCAGCGTCGATGAAAGAGCTGCGGGTGTAGAATCGTTTTCCGGCGCAGCCATTACTGGCTTGGTTGATAATGCCGTTGAAGAAATTTTGTGTCACAATGCTACCGACCGATCCACCACCAGTAGGGGTTCCACTACCTCTACAGGGACCTGATCGGCATCCCGTACCGCAATAAGCATCTGTGGTACCGCAGTAACCGTACTGACTGCAACAAAGATTTGCTGAGCAGCCGCAGTTCTGAGATTTAACGGTTTCAGAGTAAAGACCTATGAGGCAGAGAAGAAAGACTAAGGAGATTTTTGTGAGAGCCATGTTTTGGTCTTTGCTTGTGAATGAGAAGGAAGCGTTGTGAGGTGTATATATAGAGTAGATGCTGGGTACTTTTATCATTGCATTTTGGGATTGGTGCCTTGGTGGAAATAAATGTCTTTATAACGTGGGTTTAGCTTAAACCGCACTTGACTTTTAGACTTGGTAATGTGGACTCGGTCTAAGAATTTAATTAAATTACTCCATGTAATAGTATCGTATTATGCCAATTGTCTTTCATATAATTCCCATTTCAAAAAGTAAAAGTAAACTTTACTGGTTTAATAAGTGTATTAGTTTAACAATGGATCCAAACGACTGGCCAACCCGTAATACATATACCCCAAGCTAGAGCACTATACTTGTTTATATTTAGTTATCATTCTAAACTAATAGCAATTCCTTCGAATATCCCAAAAACAGACTCCGTGAAGTTGAAGCGCAATTTTCTATGCAACATTTTATATGTTGCTTTTGTTCGTTGTACATATTAATTAAGCTATCAATAATTTTAATGCAATAGTTTTTTTACAAAAATCATGTAACAATTTTATATTATGTTTGTAAACAATGTTCTTCAGTATACAGGTATACGAACAATATTTGAATGCAATTTTCTATGCAATGGTTTGTATGTTGTTTTTGTTCGTTGTACATATTAATTAAACTATCAATAATTTATTATACATGTGGAATTGTTAGAATAGACACTGCCGTGCATATATTGTTGGATTTTAGGCCTAATGATACAGAAAATTTTCGTATAAAAGAAAAAGACATGGAATTAATTAGCATGCATTGTCATTTAGTCAAAAGTCATGGCCTAACATCATTTTCATATGGCATCCACTAAAGTCTAACTATTGACTTCATCAACCAAGGGTAAGAAATAAATTGCTTCTTGAGTATTTAGTTTCTTAGTTTGTTACAGCAAAGCAATTTATAAGTAACATCGGCTAGTAAGCCCATAAAACATAGCAACGACATAAGATGTAGAATTTTTATTAATATTTGCATTGTTTTCCAATTTTGTCTTAATTTCTGAGAAATCGTATAAAATTGTCAAAGATTTGCATACTATAAACCTTTAAAAATTTAAGCTCACACCGAGACTAACTACCGTAGTAGTAATCAAACTAAAATATAAGATTTTTGGATTGGATTTGGTTTTTAAACAAATTTATTATACATATATAGTCCAGTATTCATTAATTTAAACGTAGTGCCATCGCATTAATGACTTCAACAATCGAGACCTTGATCAGGGGTGACCCCAAGCATCTCGCAGAACTCTATGTATTGCTTAACCTTGTTCTTCGTATCATCACGACGCCAGTTGCCACATTCACGGCCATCGACTCTCTTTGTGATTTCTCCAAATCCTAAGTACAAAGCCGGGCGCACGTTTCTATTCCAGAACCACATTGCGAATTTGAAAGCAACTTCCGGACTACGAGCCACCAGATCTGGATCCTTCAATAAAGGTAGTCCGAGGTGCTTGCCTGCAGCACCATAATACTCGTTCCATGTGATTGATTGTAGCAAACCACGGCCATAGTAGTTTTTCCCCGGTTCGCAAGGGTACTTCTTGCTCTTTGAACAGTACCTCTCTTTGGATATTTCTTCTTTGTAACAAAAATCTTTACGTAAAAATAAAATCTGTTAGCAAAATCTTCCCAAAAAAAATATTGCAGTGCCATAATGTTGATTGCGTTACTTTTACCCAAAAAAAAAAAATGTTGATTGAGTTACATGCACAAATCGAACTTACTTTTAGATCCATACGAGAAATGAGCCAATATGGCAGCGATCTCGCGTCTAGCCACCTTTCCTTTGTAAGCTCCAAATGATTTGAAAGCAGTGATGAAAGCATTATAAGTGTAGAATCCTTTTGCCGTGCAGTTACTTTCGACTTTGCTCATGATGCTATCGAACAACGCTGGTGTGATAACGGTCTCTATTTTACCACGTGGACCTGCATCGACGTTGTAGTCATATCCGTAAGATTTTCCCTTGATGTTGCAAGGGCCACTGAAACAAAAGAATCCGCAATAGTCGGCACCGGTGCCACAAAACCCCCATCTGCTGCAACATTCCTTAAGGCCAGGGCAACTAGTATCCATGCAGTTTTGCGAGAACACTGTCTCGGCCAAAATTGCTAGAATGAAGAGGGAAAAAATGAGAGCGCTTTTTTGAATCGGCTTTTGCATGGTCATATTATTTTCTAGCAAAATTAAAGATGTTTTTGAAATCAGGATTTGGGTGAACGGGAAGGTTTATATATGGACGTATTTGTAGTTCAAAATCATTCCGTTTGTATGGTCAACTATACTATTCTTTAACATAATATAAGTATTAAGCTTTTTCTAGAAATTGATGAAGACTACATACTTTAAATATTCACTAGATCTACTATTTGAACACTTGAAATTCACAAGTCAACTATTAGTACCCTGGACTTTTAAGAAGCTGAAACTATAATTAATCTTTCATGTGATAATATATGTTGCTTTGTTGTCAATGTTCCATTCCTAATGACTTTCAGATATGCACTAATTAGAACAAGAAAAGGAGTAAATTATATTAACATGTGGAATATGAAAGCATTATTACAACATATATATTTTAGAAAAGTAGATTTAGAACACCAAGTCTTGGTTCGACTGAAGAGGAGAATGATGAGAGTTCCAATTTTTATTCACTGATATGACAAGGGATACAAACAACACACAATATCAGTTACATTAATAGACATCAACCACACAGTATGACTTCTAATCTCTTATTATTTCTATCTATTCTAGTATTTTCGACTTCCCTTTATTATTCCACACAACATTCTTAATCCACACGACAATTTTTTTTTAAAACCCACATAAACAAGTAGTGTCTTCAACATTTGAGATTTGTTCCAGGAGTGACCCCAAGTTTCTTGCAGAAGTCCAAGTAATGGTTAACCCTGCTCTGCACCGCGGCTGGACGCCCACCGTTACATTCACCACCGTTGATCCTCCTTGTGGTTGCACCAAATCCTTGGCCAATAACTGGACGCACATTCTTGTTCCAAAACCACATGGCACACTTGAAAGCTACAGTTGGGCTACGAGCCACCATATCTGGGTCCTTCAAGAGAGGAAGTCCGAGGTACTTCCCAGCTGCACCATAGTTGTAGTTCCATGTGATTTGGATCGGACCGCGACCATAGTAGTTCTTGCCCGGTTGACAAGGATATGTTGTGCTTGATTGGCAGTACCTTCCTCTGGCTATTTCTTCTTTGTAGCAAAAACCTTTACATCATCAAAAATATAAATCTTAATTATTTCTTACATAAAAAAGAAAGAATATATAAATAGGGGATCATATCAAAAATTTAACATTTTTGAGAAACATCTACGAGGTTTCTCGATACTATAAATGTAGCAAAACCTTTTATATTATGAGGAAAAGATTCCCGTCTCAATTATCATACCAAAATTATTACTTTTGCTATGTGTTGCTGTTTATGAAAGTTTTAACATGATACTTCTTAACTAAAAATTATTTTTAGATAATATATATCTGAAATAGAATATATAAATATCGAGAGAGAAAAAGAGAGACAGTAGTAAACGGTGAACTTACTTCCAGATTCGTGAGAGAACTGAGCCAACATGGCGGCAATCTCACGCTTAGCAACGGTTCCTTTGTAGGCTGGGAAGGATTGAGCAGCCGCAATGAAAGCCTGGCGAGTGTAGAACCCTTTGGCCGGGCAACCACTTCCAACTTTACTCATGATGCTGTTGAAGAACGCTGGTGTGACAACGCTGGCTATGGTACCACGAGGACCAGCGTTTAGACCGCCGGTACCGCTGGGAGTAGGTTTAGGTTTAGCGTTACAAGGTCCACTCTGGCACCCAGTGCCACAGTAGGCTTTTGTGGTACCACAATATCCCCACCTGCTGCAACACATATTGCCTTTGCATCCGGTTCTACCGCAGTTTTGTGAAAACGCGGTTTCTGTCATGATGGTTAGAGTGAAGAGGAGAATGATGAGAGCATTTTTCAGAATCGCATTTTGTGTCGCCATTTTTTTTTCTTTTTCTTCGATGGAATGTTTTGGAGGGGGAGTTGTGTGAAGAAACGAGGATGATATGTGAATGTATTTATAGTATAAAACTGGTAATATTAAATTATCTTTGGTCAATTATATATATGTTTAATGAATAAGTCGTGACCCATTCCTTTTCTTGTAGATGGTGATTAAGGAGAAATACTATGATGATTTGAATTTGGACTTGGTCGTAACGTTTAACTGAATTAGACTATTAGACGAAAACGAATTAATAAAAACGTTTTCAAGATAATCTTTCTTTTTATAATTTAACAAGTCAGGATTGGGTCGGTTCAGTTTCACCAACATCGAATAAGAGCGATTACGATCTTAAAATATTGGAAAATATATTTTTTTATATATGATTAATATGTGTAACATAGAACAATGACAATAACCAAACCCTAGGTACTATTATAGCGTATGTACCAAGTATTCCCAGAGAAATTGACCCCTCTTTTTTAGTTTGAACGTTATTTGAAAACAAAAACTATGTATAAACCATTCTGATACCATTTCGAATTTTTTGGATAATAAGCAAAAAAGAACAATGAAAATATATGCATGCGTATTGCGGATACAACTATTAGCTCGATTCATTGTCGTTAACGTTTTCGTACACTAAAATACTCATCTCCGATCGAGTTCTATTTTAGTATCGAATAACAAAGGTGAAAAAACTATAAACTGTAAATTGTACGCAATTGACATGAAAGTAAATATAATTGGTTGCTTAACGATGTGTATTACCCATTAATTATACTATATGTTGCTTTGTTTTAAGGTTGTAGGATCTCATCAGAGTCCTCGTATACAAACTTGACCATGTAAATATTATAATTTATAAGCATATCGTGTAAGCTTTATCTAAATTCTCAATGGCTTTATCTAAGTTTCTTCAACGTATAATATTATCCAAAAAGTTAGATTTTGTGTAAGACTTTTTCATCGACGAGTAAATCCTAGGGATACGATACGAAGTAAACCATTACATAGATCATATATGTGTTGGTCAACTTAATTTGGCCATATAGTATTAATTTATAAAATTATTCTTAATTTACTGGGATATCAAAATTTAAAATATCGAACTATCACCATATGTACCGTTTCTGCATAAGTTTGAATATAATTAGCGGGCATCGTTCATGTCAACATGACTAAATTATTTTATAACTTGATTACGAATATATTTCTTTTATTTAATTTTCGGTTTTTAACAATTTTGCAAAAACTGACGCATATATTCATATACATTGCTTGTTCACGTATAAACAAGGAATGCGATATGAATATGATTTTTTTTTTTCTTTTCTAAAACATATATTATATACAATTGATTCGAAACTAAGGTACATGAGCTAGTCCCTATTACAATATGCAGCTGTAATATATATTATTTTAGTCAATATAATCTTCCTAACAGAGGCGAATATGCGATTATAATATAAGCACGTACATAAGTTTTCAACTTTCAAAGAATTTGCAATGGTCTGAAAAAATGATAATCTTAGTTTTCCCACGTAATGATAATATTAGTTAACATTGCAAACTAACTAATAATAATACTAAACCTATAATTAATGGAAAGTTGTGTTGACAAACAAAATTAAGAGGCGTTTACTTGACGAGTCACGACAAATAAAGGTTTACTTCAGCGCTAATTAAGGGTCCTTGGAATGCGCTGACGTGGCACTATCCATACAAAAGTCAACTCAAGCATGTCACATGCTCACATGAAGGAACTCTTTTGTTTTGTTTTTTTAGGATGTAATTAGAACTTCTTATTACTATTTTGTTTTTGACAGCCATGTGGCTGTCTCTTTTCTAACAAAAAAACAAAAAAAATCCGGTCTTGAATTGATCCATATAGAGTTTTAAATCTGATAATCATAGTATTTACGATGATTCCACGATGCTACAGACCAAATCTTATCTTGACTAATTGCGCATTACTCTACTCAAGTTTGGATTTGATCTTGAGTGAGCTTATTTTATTCCGCTATTTCTCCTTTTTATGTCATATATATATATGTCGTGATTATTTATTTAAATTTTTAAAAGAGTCTTTTTACTTTCCATAAAGAAACATCATTAACAATTCAACTCAAAAATTACTTTCCATGATCTTTAAGAGAGTGAGAGTCTTAACTGGTAAAGGCCCAAGAAGGTCATCTTGTATAACAAAGACAAATAAGAAGTCCTCGAAAGAGGCCTCTTTACGTCGGTTTTGAATTATTATGGTGCGTCTACGTATGAACACGCTCTCATCTGTAAGTCCACGCTCGTGTGGACCAGTTTTTTCTGGAAGTGTTTTGTTATTATTAAGATATGTTCCTTAGTTAGTTCAATCTACTACATGTGTGTCGTGTGATGTCTATATCCTTTATAATACGTACACTGAAAATGTTGGAAATTAATCTGTTTTTACTGTCATATCTATGCATACGTTTTCTGAGCCACATATATCGATCGGGTCTAGTTATGAATTGTCCAATAGTCAGCTGTTGTTCACTGTACTGATTCTCCTTTCACCATTTGGTTCAGTCACTTTTGGTCAGCTTATACTCGAAACATAATTTACCATTTGTTCACAATCTTTATTCATTGTATACCTCTTATTATGAGTCTTCGTAAGTTTCAACTTAGCTTATTTTATTATCAGACCAAAAAACCAAACAATTTTTTTTTTCTGTAATTTACCATTCGGTCTCACTTTTTATTCATTATATTCTCTTGGGTTTCAGCTTATAATTTAATTTGTTCTCAGTCCAAAATTTAAAACAAGTTTCTGTGAAATTGGATTTAACCATTGACCAAACAAAAGTTGATATATTAGAAATTCGTTTATTTATGGATTGGCTGATATATATGCTTCATTCTATGACAACCGATACAAACAACACATTGGTACATAAGGACCGCAACACCTTTGGTTATAAACTCACACGTGCACGACCACAGTGTTATACTATGAACCGTGCCATATATATTACCCACATTTTACATTTTTAACAACTAAGACTTGTTCCCGGAGTGATCCCAAGCATCCCGCAGAACTCCAAGTAACGGTTTACTCTGCTCTGCACCGCTGCAGGACGCCGCCCGTTGCACTCGCCACCGTTAATCTTCCTCGTGGTGGCTCCAAAGCCTTGGTCCAAGACTGGACGAACATTTAGGTTCCAGAACCACATGGCACACTGAAAGGCAACTTCTGGACTACGAGCCACCATATCTGGATCAGTCAAGAGAGGGAGTCCAAGGAACTTTCCGGCTGCACCATAGTTGTAGTTCCATGTGATTTGGATTGGACCGCGACCATAGTAGTCCTTCCCCGGTGTACAAGGGTACGCAGTGCTCGGTGAGCAGTATTTCCCTCTAGCTATTTCTTCTTTGTAGCAAAAACCTTGACATAACGTAAAATAATATATCGTTATATATGACAGAGAGGTCCTAATAAATAAAGATCAATCGATACAAATAACATGAACATAATGATAAGTTATTTCAAAAGATAATATTATGGTGCTCGTTCTTATAATATACATGTAGAAAGGTTTATAAATAATGAACTTACTTCCAGATTCATGAGAAAACTGAGCCAACATAGCGGCAATCTCACGCTTAGCTACAGTTCCTTTATAGGCCTCAAACGACTGGGCGGCCGCAATGAAGGCCTGGCGAGTGTAGAATCCTTTCGCTGGGCAGCCATTTCCCACTTTGCTCATGATACCATCAAAAAACGCTGGTGTGATAACGTTTTCAATTGTGTCACGAGGATCAGTGTTTAGACCGTCTCCACCACCGGTGGGAGTTGGTGGGATAGGTGTAGGTCCGGAACTGCAAGGTCCGCTTCGGCACCCGGTGCCGCAGTAGGCGCTTGTGCTGCCACAATAACCATACCTGCTGCAGCATAGGTTGCCAGCACATCCGGTCGTGCTGCAGTGTTGAGAAAACACGGTTTTTGCCATAATGGTTACGGCGAAGAGGAAAAGGATGAGAACATTTTTCAACATTGCCCTTTGGGTAGCCATTTTGTTTTGGAGTGTGTTGTGTGAAGAATGATGTAGGTGTGTGCATGTTTTTATAGTGTAAGAAAATTGGTCTATTCAAATTGATATTACTTGTGTGGTTTAGATATTTTCACGATTATTGATTGGCTTTTTCTTAGTCAAAGTCAATGGCCCTTGCTCCTTTGTACCACTAAACATAAGTCAACGGCAGCGTTTTTTGTTCTTGTCGTTATGAGGCATTACATGTCGGTAATAAATCAGATAAGAAACGAATAATCAAAACTTGAAACAACCCAAGTTACTTCGATTAAATTAATGGGAACTTTTATACATATAAGTTAATAACCTCCTAATGCTCTTTTATCATAATTTTACAAACAACCCAACTCATGTTCAGTCTACATTATATTTTTCTTCCCAACGGAAAAACAGGCCCAATCTGGAAACCTTGACCAAAACAATTGCAAATAGTCAAGCCCAAGCAACGGTATTAAACCAGCTTATGATGAATAAACCGGATTGGTCTTACCAACCCAATGGTCTAGAACCATCGAGGCTCAAGTGAAAAAACGACGACGTTAAGCTGCCTCTTTCAAGATAGATAAACTTGTCGGTCGGCTCCTCCTTCGCTCACACAGTTGAGCTTCTCCGTCGTTTCAGGACGCAAAGGGGGGAAAAATCGAGTTCATTTCTCTACAATCGAGGATTAGGGTTTCGGATTCTCCGTCCCGTCAAGGCTTCGAAGAGGTACGATTCCGGTCTTGTGATATTCTTGTTTCTCCCGAGCTGGTTATTGTTCTTACTTTATAATTGCCGAACCAATGCCATTATAATCGAAGTTCTTGATTTTTTGGTAACATATATCTGCTTAATGTTCTATGAACTCGGTATAAGTATCCCAGAGATTTGTTCTTTTCTCCAAGTTTTGATTAGAAATTGCGTCCTTTGTGATACCCAGATGAATCTTTGTTTAGGCCAATGCTGGGTTCTAATTGGTTGTGTTCGTTATTTGCTCTTGATTTTTCTCAGGAATTGATTGCATTAAGAGAAGAGTAAAGATGAGCTTGACACAGGCTAATTGTTTTCGACCATCCTACAGTCCTGCAAGGATAACAAGACCAAATTGCATCTCCAGTGTACCTATTAGATCGTCAGCAGGCGTTGATCACTGCCCGCGTACCACATTTACCCTCCGTGCTACTGCTTCAGTTTCTACTCAGTTTTCGCCTCTTCTTAACCATCGCCGTCGTTCACCTACTGGGAAATCGAAGACAAGTCCTGCTGTGTGCTTATTTGGTGGCAAGGATAAACCCGATGGTAGTGACGAGGTCAGATGCTTTTTCCTCATGCAAATGAAGTTACTTTGTAACCAGAGAGTGTTTCCTTTTGTGCATGTTTCCAAGGATTTTTCTGTTCTGTTTTCTGATGATGAGTGTGTTGTTTCATCAATTTCGTACCAAATGATTGTTGTGATGAATTTTGTTATCAGATATCACCATGGAAAGCAATAGAGAAAGCTATGGGGAAGAAATCGGTTGAAGACATGTTGCGGGAGCAGATACAGAAGAAAGATTTTTATGATACAGACAGTGGCGGCAACATTCCTCCACGTGGAGGAGGCAGTGGTGGCGGTGGTGGGAATGGTGAGGAGCGTCCCGAAGGATCAGGAGGAGAAGACGGTGGTCTTGCTGGGATTGCAGATGAAACCCTGCAAGTGGTTTTAGGGACCCTAGGCTTCATCTTTTTGGTAAATGACACAACTCTCAGGAAACATTCAAACTTCATATATCATATCTTGCTTTGACGGAATATTCTTTTTTCGCAGTACACCTACATTATCACTGGAGAGGAATTGGTCAAGCTTGCAAGAGACTACATTAGGTTTCTTACAGGAAAATCTAAGACTGTTCGATTGACTCGAGCCATGGATGGTTGGAATGAATTCTTTGAGAAGATGTCAAGGCAAAGAGTGTATGATGAGTATTGGCTAGAAAAGGCGATCATCAACACGCCAACCTGGTATGACAGCCCCGAGAAGTACAGACGTATTCTCAGCGCTTATGTGGACTCAAATTCTAATGAAGATTATGTTGACGCAAATTCTGATGATTAGTTAGTGGCAATTCCGTCTTTGGTACACAACGGTGTGGAGTATCTTACTAGCTTAGGAACAGGAAGAGTTTCATAATAACAATTAAGAGTTTTCTTAGTTTTTCAGCTTCTGTTCGAAATTAAGAATCAGTTTCTGCAATTTGATCCATGTTCGTGCATTTGTATGGAATTGGTATTATACATGATCATCATATTCAAAGGGAAAGCAAATGCAAGCCAAAATCTATGATGATATAAGTCAAAATCTTTGTGATCTTTCAATAGCTTTCAAAATTCAATTCTTAACCAGCAATTTCAAATCAATGAGAAGTGGTTTACAAAAAAGGAGAAATCAAAGTTTCTTAGATTTAGTGGTTGAACTGCCTTCCTTCTTCTCTGCCTCTGTGGATTTCTTCCGGTCTTTCCTTTCCCTCTTCTTCAAAGCTGTCATGTGGGCCTTAAGAATGGTGGCATAGGATGCTTGAAATCTCTGGTGATCCTTAGCACCAACCTTACAAACAAGAAAGCATTGTAACAAGTTAGTTACAGTCAAGTCTTGAAGATCACAGGCCACTATCAAATTTATAAGATTTTAGGTATGTTATCAACAAGATCATAGACACAGCTGCTTCACCAACTGCAAAAAGCCAATCAAAATAGTGCCAAGGAGGGATGACTAGAGAGCTAAAAGAGAATGCTATCTCATATTCTTAGCCATTATCCAGAGACTATAGTAACACTTAACCAATCTCTCGAGTAATGGATGTGATGTTTTATTAATGCATAGTTTACAATGTTTGGAAACAGACATGGTTCTACATCTTGAGGTAATAAGTAGAACATACCGAAGTAGAAACTGTTTTCTTTCCATCAGTAGCTCGAATAAGGCATCTGTATTCAATGGATTCTCCGACTGAGCTCAGTTTCCTCTTCTGCACTTTAGACTTGAGAGATGCTGAGACAAGTAACAACAAAAATCATACAAGATATCTTTGAAAAGATATTTCAAGTATAATAGATAACAAAAGTGGAGGAATGAGATTGTGAAATATTTACATCTTTTCAAAGTAACCCACACAGAACCCTTCTCTTTGCTTTTCTCAAACATGCTCGTGAGTTCATTGAGGAATGGATCCAACTGTAAGAGAACCTGCAAAACCAAAAAGGATGGCATAAAAAAAAGCATGATCACCTAAAACAAGGAGGAAAAATTAGTTTTTTGTTGTTGTTGTTATTTTAACTCCATCAATCACTGAATCCTACAGTGTAGCGTCAATACTGAATCAAAAATCCCACCAAACACAAAAAAAAGAATAAACATGTCTCACAAAACAAAATCTTCACATGTTTACAATTCTTCATCTTCTGTAAAATAGCATATAGCTACCATAATCCTAGAATAGAGATCGAGAATGTACCATTGTTAAACCTCAGATGATTTTTTTCAGCAGATCGAAGAAAATCAATGAGAAGACTTGATATCACTCCGATCACTGAGAGAAGAAAAAAAAAATCCATAAACACAATGCAAGTGAAAGCGATAGTTAGATCTGATTGAATTAAACTTTGTCTACATCAATGCATACGCAACTTAAAAACTATAAGCACAATTTGAAGCAATTGTTCGAACCCATTCAGATTTCTAATCAATTCGACGCTAAATCGTCAAAGCTTCTGAACAAATCTACAAGCAGACAATATAATTCAATTTCACAAACAACTTGAAGGATTTAAAAATCCGATTTTAGCCAACAAAACCCAGCTCAAGACCAACGATATGTAAGAATCAGAATTCAAAACTAAGAAGAGACTATTCAACTGACCAGAGAGAGAGAGACTTGAATCCGTCCGTATGATCTCTCCACTTCCAAAAACGCACCACCGGCCGGAGGAAACAACTCTTCGGTTAAAAGAAGTCGCCGCAAGTCAAAGACGAATCTACCCTTGGTGCCGAAGGACTCTTTTAAACCTGGGCTTATTAGGATACATAATGGGCCTCATATTAGGCCCAGTAAATTTATTAAACCTTGCTAGGGTTTTAATCGGTACGTTCTCTTTCTTCGATCATCTTCGGAGACACCATTGGTAATCCTCCAAATTGTTCCCGTCGTTGAAACTTTTATCTAACTGTGTTGCGTCGAGCTGATTTTTATGAAGCGGAAACCCTAATTTGCTGAGAAATTTTGAAGTGCTCAGAACCTACGTTGCAGCACAACAATGGGCAAAAAAGGAGTGACTCAGAAAAGAAGTAGCAGTAAAAGCTCGAAAACCCGCAAAGATATCGTCGAAAACCAATACGATGACGAGATTGACGCCTGTAAGTTTCGACCCACTTGATAAAATTTTGTTACTTTGTTGTTGTTGTTGTTTCCTCAAGCTTATTTGATTATTGGAATGACTAGGTTCCCTTTATTAGTTGCCTAGTAGCTTATTCCTACCCAATTAGATTTATTTATGGCTCATTGCTTGAGATTTTCAGCATGTCTTTTGAATTTAGTAAGTTAATGTCCTTTTTGATGGGAGAGGATGATGATACTTATGATGTTTGGTTTTTGTGTCCACAGTTCATAAACAGAGGGATATTGTTCCCTTGGATGTCGATGATGACACTGATGAATCAGATGAAGATGATGTGCAACCTGTTTTTGACTTAAAGGTTTGTTTCTGGTTTATTTTTCTTGACATTTCTTTTTCTCCAATCTTTGCAATGCTTCCCTTTCAATTTCAGTTGCTATGGCTTATAGGGTGTGGATGATGAAAGTGAAGAAGATGAAGATACAGAAGACGATGAAGAGGAGTCTGGCAATGGACTTACCGCAAAAAGTAAGGATGCCTTCTTATCCGATGCTTATTATATGTTCTTGTTGCATCTGTTCCAGCAAAACGGTATTACTAAAAGTATTCCGTTTTTGAGTGCCTTATTTGTTTTCTTATTGGGGCCTTAATTGTGCAGTGATTAGGCAGAAGAAATATCTAAGGCAAAAGTTTGGTGATGGTGACGATGAAATGGCTGATGATGATGACAAGGATAAAGATGAGGAAGACAAAAGGATCACATGGGGTGGAAGAAGGGGAATATACCATAGTGTTGATAATGTGGATTTTGAGGTAAGAATTGTCATGGTTTCCTCATTTTGTTAATATTCTGTTCTCTCTGAAACAAAACCTTCATAAGTTGCTTATCTGGTTCGATGTGATTTTGAAGCTCCAATCAAGTGATGATGAAGACCTTAAAGCTGAAGAAGCAGAGGTGATAAGACTACGGACAGAACAACTTTCATCCATTACAGCTGCTGACGCTGGGTTAGACGACGATAGTGAAGAAGAGAGCGACAGGGAATTAACCATGGAGGTGGGCCAAGTTACCAATTACTATCATGTAGTTGGAATCTATCCTGTTGCTTAGGCCTTAGATAACTGACACAACATTCTGGTTTATATTTGGCAGGAAATTCCTGTCAAAGGCAAGCAGGCTACAAAATCCACCAAAGATAAGAAAGAGAAGGGTGATAAGGACACACATGTGGAAGAGATCAAGAAAGACATAAACTCTTTGTCAAAAGAAGAGCAAATGGATGTAGTATATAGGTAAATTTGATGGTTTCTGCTTCTAAAATTTTCATTGCCTTACTATATTTGTATGAGATCTTAATACATTTTATGTAGACTAATATTCACATGATATGTCTTTCGTGTAGTTCTGCTCCGGAAATAGTTGGTCTTTTGTCCGAGTTGAATGATGCAGTCAAAGAGCTTGAGAGTAAGATAAATCCGGTTATGAGTAAGGTAGACCTCTTTACCATTCCAATTTTTTTTTAAATTGATTTCTGTATTGCCACTTTATATTACCACAGTTTCAAGAAGACATCGTGGCTCCTTCCAAAAATTTATGCAATTGTGTCTCCTTGCAGTTAAAGGAAGGAGGAATTGCTTTGAGTGGTGTAACAAGGTACCTGGAGGTTAAGCAGCTTCTGCTACTGGCCTATTGCCAATCTATAACATTTTATCTTCTACTCAAAGCTGAAGGGCAGCCTATCCGTGATCATCCGGTCCTTGCCCGTCTTGTAGACATCAAATCTTTATTAGATAAGGTTTGTGGGGTACCCTTTTAAATTTATTTGATCTCTTGGCAGTTACATGTTTTACGACTACCACTGCGACTATATAAGTGGTTTATTAATTTATTATAGCATATGAGTTAATGTATTATTTTTGTTTATATTCAGATTAAAGAACTTGATGGAGAGCTTCCTCCTGGATTTGAGGAGTCCCTAGCGAGAACTATTGCTGATGGAACAGTGCCAAAGGTGGTCAAAGAAGATCAGCTCCCGTCACCTGTCTCTGATTTAGTAGTTAGAATCACGCAAGACACAGCCGAGGTAGAAGCTAGCATCTTACTCGCCGTCACTCGAGTTAAACTCTTACTAGTTGTTTTGAAACTTTCTTTGTATTCACCTTGCTGATATCCGTTTATTCAGCCAATGAAAATTGACAAATCGAGAGAAGAAAAGAAGAAAAAAGGAGAGAAACGCAAGCATCAGGTGAATACAAATCTAAGCATTTTCTATTCTATCAGAACTCTCTCAATCCCTTACACTTATTGGCCTATTATCTTAGTTGAACTTGAACAAATTTGCTCTTCTTTGTACCAGAATGATCAGGTTGATATGCAAAGTGAGGAAATGTTAAAACTTCGAGCAGCTCTAGAGGGAAAACTTAGAAGCAACGGAGTCCTTGGTTCTACTGTATCAAAGTCTGATAAAGCTAAAAAACGCCAGAAATTAGCGAATAGGTAATAAACCTTTTCTTTTTAATAATCATACGTGATACTTGTTTACTATAGTGATCGTTGTTGTCCCTGTCTGAAGATTGTGATTTATTATTAATTTTCCAATCCTGGATGTAACCAGGAAGCTAGAGACTTTCGATGATTATGTGGATGATGCAGACAATAGCACACACGATGGAAAAGCTTATAAGCTCACCAAGCTTGTGTCCACCAAACGGAAGCCCAAGGTAATATATCGTAGATGTGAAACTTAAATATGTCTTCTACTTTTCATGCTATTCTTTTTCTTATCTTTTCACCTTATGTTTTGGAAGACTGTTTCTGGAGATGATGATTTACCGCAAAGGGATGATATTGGTGAACGGCGTAGAAAGTTTGAGCTCAGAGTTTTGGCGGGAGCTGGTGTGAAGTCAGAGGAAGATGGCAGGAATGAAAGTGGGAGATTTGCATCAGATGACGACAATGATCACGATGGTTATAATAATGACATGGTTGATAATGATGGTGAATCAGAAGGCTCAGAAGATGAATTTTACAAACAAGTGAAACAGAAACAAGAAGCTAAACGAGCTGCCAAAGCAGAGATTTACTCAAGGTAGTAAAGCAGTACATTAACCTTTCTTTTTCACACAAGTTGACACTTGACACTTTCTGATAGTTTAATACTGATCATCTCAATGATACTTTTTGTGTTGGTTCAGAAAACCACATTTGCTCTCGTCATCGCCAGAACAAGTGGATGGAAAACGACTGATTACACCTCAGGTTAGAATATTTCCAAAGCACACAACAAACATCATCTGTGTCTCTACTTAGCAGCATAGTTTAACGTTTCTTTTAATTTTTTCTTTTTCTTCTAAATCTCCACCAAAACATAGATATATGGCAACAGAGGATTGACCCGGCAACGCAACAAGGATCGTAAAAACCCAAGAAAGAATTACCGGGTAAGCGATCTTGGATTGCCGTTTTCTGCAACGTTTGTTTCTTTGGCTTAACTCGGATGTTTTGAAATCTTGAATTTTTGTTTGCAGGATAAGCACAGTAAAAAAGTCAAAGATCGACAAGGACAGGTCAGAAATATGAGGAAACAAAAGGGTCCATATTCAGGAGAAGCTAGCGGTATCAATCCCAACACAAGCCGGAGCATCCGAATCAAGAGCTAACCTCCTCTTCCTATGTCCCCCCCAAATTTTTCTATATGCATGCTTCTTTTTGCTGTTGTATTATCTTCTTTTCTGGATGGATCTTCTACTTTTCATTTTCTCTTCTTCAAACTAAGCAAATCATTGATTGTTTTGCAATTTTTGATGTTTTTTTTTTTTGGTTTAAATCTGTTGTCTCACATTTGTATTTCTAAGGAAGGAAAAAACTTGCTTTTCTAACTACAAGGAGCATCGATATGCTTAAGAGTGTGGGAAGTAGTTAACTAAGTTGGCCTTCTTCTCTTCGTCCCAAATTGAGAGTGATTCTATTTGGGCATTCACTGTGATTATAAGACATTTTATAAAGGTTTTTTTTTACCTGTTTTCTAATAATATTTTCCATACGTATACAACGTCACCAACAAATAACATAGGAAATAAGCAAGTAAAAAAATAACGTTATAGTTTAATTGAAAGTGAATCTATAGGATATAAAAGTTGAATTTGGTTTACGTCTTGATTGATGATGATCAAGAAATCATCTAACTTTAGATGTAAAAATCTCACTGTGTTGTAAGAAATTATTAATAATAAATAAAAAATTGTAAAAAGTGGGCAAATACAAGAGTCTTTTGACAAAGAAAAGTTCTATACGACAATACTAAAGTTAAACACTTAACTACGTCGGGATTATACAATAAAGTATTACCTTGAACTATATATATAATTATGTATTCATAGAGGAGTTTTAAGACTTCAAACAAAATCAAACATGGCTAAAGCATATATATGTCTTTCTTTCATCATCTTGTTATACATCTCATCAGGTCTTAATAATCAGTTTAAGATTATTTGCAAAATCTTTAATTGGTTGTTAAGATTCTCAAACTTGTTTTAACAATTTCAGTTTCATTTACATGTGTTCTCTTACAGCAGGAAGTGTCATGAGAGTCAATGCACAGGTACATGCCTTGAGAAAGAAACTAAAATTAATCTCATAGATATGTTTTTATAACATTTTGAGTTTGCTTCTTTGTCACAGAGCCAGGGAGATTGGTGTGTGGCCAAGCCTGGCACGTCGACCGAACAGCTTTTAAATAACTTAAACTATGCTTGTTCGAAAATAGATTGTCACATCGTATCGAAAGGGGGTGCATGTTATTCACCAGATAATCTCTATAATCAAGCTTCTGTCGCCATGAATCTTTATTACCAAGCTGAGGGAAGACACTTTTGGAATTGCAATTTCGAAGGCTCTGGTCTCATTGTCATAACTGATCCTAGTGAGTTTTATGCATCTCTCTCTCTTTTTCTCTCTAAACAATTATGTTACCTTTGTTTCGTATGATATATGTCAGATCATTTTTTTTTTGACAGGCGATGGATGTTGCAAATATGAATTTCGTAAGTAAAGCACATAAAGCTTCGTATTTGTTAAGAAACAAACCAAAGAACTCTTGTTCTGATACTTTGAATGGTTCAACTGTGAAGTGTTGAGTTTTATATCATTGTCAAAAGTCAAAACCATAATTAAATAATTAATCTCATTTATCAAAACTTCATCTTATTCAGTATCATTTATTATGCGTGATTTGGTTTTACATGTGATACATATAGACGTGAATCAATTTTCTCGTTTAAAAAAGTAGATGTAACTGTTATAATTTTAAGTCCAATTCCTAACAAATTCCTAACCAAACTTAATACTAAAGATAGTACTGTGGGAAGAAAGTTTGTCTTGTCACTAAGCTGAAGAGCCTGAAGTCTTTTTAATACTGTGGCTTAAATTGTATTCCAAGGTTAAAATTTAAATCATCCAAGTGTTTGTTTAAATCACTGGTTAGTACAACCATATTTGCGTGTTCGACATGTGTCAAAAAAAAAAAAATAAAAAAAAAAAACAATGCTAGTAACATTTGTAAAAGTTGGCAAATACGAATTACAATTTACAATATAAAAAGAAAAGTATATACAAAGAGATTAGTATTAATTATCTTGGGATATTTCAATAATTTTGTCTACTTTAATTAATTGTTTTGGATACTAGATGATTAAAAATTAAGATATTATTCCAAATCTCTCACTATAATTTATTCCTACTTAATTTAAAAATTAAAATTATATATATATTATTCCAATTTATTCCAACTCTCTCTATATATAAGAGATGGGTTAACCTAGTTAATTTATAGCACAAGCTATAGAGAAGGTTTCCAGACGTCAAACAAAATTAAACATGGCTAAAGCACAAATATGTATTTGTTTCATCATCTTCTTTTACCTTTGGTCAGGTATATACATTGTTATAGGTCATTTCCGAATCTTAATTTTATTATTATAAAGATTTTCCAAGTTCTGTAACAATTTTGTTTTCATGTTTGTAAATTAGGAAATTTCGTGGAAGTCAAGGCATATGTAAGTAATTAAGATGACTCATAAGTAAAAAAGAGTCAAGTTATAAAATGTTTTTGTAATGATCTTTGAGTTTGATCTTTGTAACAGAGCCGAGGAGCTTGGTGTGTTGCTAAACCTTCTGCGACTAATGATAGACTTCAACAAAACATAGACTTCGTGTGTTCTAAAATGGATTGTAATATCATAAAGAAGGGAGGTGCATGCTATTCACCAGAAAATCTCATCAATGCTGCTTCTGTTGCCATGAATATTTACTACCAAACTCAAGGAAGACGTTCTTGGAACTGCAATTTCGAGGGCTCTGGTCTCGTTGGCGTAACTGATCCTAGTGAGTTTTTTTTTTTTTTTTTTTTTTAATATCTTTTTCCTCTAAACAAATATGTAAGTTTTGTTTGGTCTGATCTCAAATCAAACTTTTCTTATTTACAGGCTACGGAAATTGCATTTATGAATTTCGTCGTCAGTAAACATATCAAGTTTCGACTTTGTTGCAAGAAGAAGATATCTCGAAGAGCGTACCTGAAATTTTATATTGTAAAATTATTTGAAGTTTGAGTATTCCGATTTTTCAACAGTTAAATGTTTAAGTCCGGATATATATATGTGCAATTCATTGTCAAAGCAATAACAATATAATATTTTATCAATATATACTTCATCTAGCTGAGTATTAATACTTAACAAACTACGTACAATATACCAATAAACTTAACTATACATTTGATTTGGTTTTGCTACGTAGGTACCTATATATACGTTAGATGTGAATTATTCAATGTTTTTGCCTAAATAAATGTAAAGTAATATAGTTTGGTTTTCTTGCCAGCAAAACTTAACACATACTTAAAAGTTTTGTACAGTTATCATAAAAATCTTAACTGTGTTCTTTTTGATAAACCATATGAAATAAAGCTATGTTTTTGTGGTTTAATGAAACAATTGAGCTTAATTGAGGTTAATTGGAGATATTTTCTTAAAATAATTGTGTATTTACATTAGCATCATATATAGCAACCAAAGATTAATCCATATCGGCTACATATACATATCACATATGGTATCATACAGGTAGGGTTAGGTCTTTATAGCAGGAAGAGATTAGAGAGATTTTTTTGGCATAGATGAAATTAAACTAATCTAGTGCTCCCATAAATCTCCACGTTTAAGTTTACATTTTCGAGTAAGACCTAAACTAAGCTAATATCAAACTAGCTAATTAATTAATTATTTAGATACTGTTGTGATCAAATGGATAAACTATATATATTGCTTGAGTTCTTCAATTTGATGTTGCCTCATGAAACAAAATCTTAATGCGGGAGAAAAGTTATTATATCGCAAATGTGACAGCATGTGGACGAGTTTATAGTGGGGAAGAAGATTTGTCTTGTCACTTAGCTGAAAAGCCCGAAGTATTTTTAAAATTATGGTTTAAATTGTATTCTAAGGTTAAATCATCCATTCATGTTTTTATTAATCATCAGTTCATCACTCGTTAAAACAATTTTTCCCCGAGCAAGTAATCGTATATATTGGAACTGCTGGTGTTCAATAAAATGGTTCGTACATTCATCACTAGCTAGACCAATTGAACAACACTATTTCAAATTAAATCTCTTTGACAAACATTTTGAAATAGTTTACAAACATCATAATATTAACTATTAAGGGTCATTTTGAAATAGGACCGGTACAGTGTTATGACACCAATCTTTCGTATTTCTTTTTTGCATATATCCTTATACCAACCAAAAAAAAAAGACATCCTAATTTTTTTTTTGTAAACCTAATTAAGAACCTTATTCTACCATGTTCAGTAAATATTACGTTAAAATGGTAACTATGAACAATCTTGTATATATATATATATATATATATATATATATATATATATTTGCATTCTAATTTGCTTGCAAAATAAATAAGAAAAAACAATGTAAGTTAGAAAGTTCACGTGTTCAACATGGCAGCATAAGACAATTGTAAAAATAACAATGATAGAAACATTTGTAAAAAATGGTAAATTAGAATTACAATATACAAAGAAAACTACTACTATAGTACTAGAAAAATTAATATTAATTATGTTGGGATATATCTTAAAATTAGCTTAAAGTATATCTATGTTTTAGCACAAACTATTATTAATGTCTTAAAATTAAAAATTAAAATTACCACAAAATTAACTAATTTTTTCTGTTTTTATTAATTGTTTTGGATACTAGATGATTACAAATTTACCATAAAACAAAATATTATTAGAAAATATCTTTATATACTAATTTATACATTAAAATATTAATTTTTATAATATACTATTCTCTCTATATATAAGAGATGGGATAGCCTAGTTTTATAGCACAAGCTATAGAGGAAACAAATCAAACATGGCTAAAGCTCAAATATGTATCTGTTTCATCATCTTCTTTTACCTTTGGTCAGGTAATTATCACCACTAATCATCATGTGTGGTTGCTATAACGTATCGATCGATCTATATACGTCCATTGTAGCGATGCTTACGTACGTACGGGGTTATTAGATCATTTTAATTTCAAGTATTATATAACCAATTTTTTTTTTTTTTTTTTCATGTTTTTCTTACAAAAGGAAATTGCATGGAAGTCAATGAAACGGTAAGTAAGATTTACTCATAATTAAGTGAAAACAGTCAAGTTATAAAATGTTTTCGTAAATGGTCTTTAAGTTTGATCTTTGTTACAGAGTTCGGGAAGCTGGTGTGTCGCTAAACCTTCAACGTCTAATGATAAACTTCAAGAAAACATAAAGTTCGCGTGTTCGAAAATCGATTGTCAGAGTATATCGAATGGAAGTGCATGTTATTCTCCAGATAGTATCATCAGTCGTGCTTCTGTTGCCATGAATCTTTACTACCAATCTCAAGGAAGACAGTATTGGTACTGCAATTTCGAAGGATCTGGTTTCATTGCCTTAACTGACCCTAGTGAGTTTCCTTTTTGTTTATATATATATTTCTCTAAAACAATTATGTAACTTTTGTTTGGTCGAATCTCAAATCAAAATTTTTTATTTACAGGTTATGGAAATTGCATTTACCAATTTCGTAAGTAAACATATCGAGCTTCGACTTTTGTTGCAAGAAGATAGAGGAAGAGGACCGTATTTAAAAATATTCCATAATAAAATTATTTGAAGTTTGAATGTTTCGATTTTTCAACAGTTATATGTTTGAGTCCGGATATGTGGTCATTGTCAAAGCAATACAAATATACTTCAGTACTTCATCTAGCTCTCAGTATTAATATAAAGTATAATACCAATAAACTTAATTATATTTGATTTGGCTATATGCTACATAAAAACTATATACGTTAGATAAGATTTATTTAATGTCTTTGCCTAAATAGATGTAAAGTGCTATAATTTGATTTTCTTGCCAGCAAAAGCTAACACATGCACTCAAAAGTTTGATACAGTTATCATAAAAATCTTAACTGTGTTCTTTTTGATAAAACCATATATATGAGATAAAGTTATGCTGCTGTGGTTTTATGAGATAATAGAGTACAAGAAATATGGCTATAGATCACCTAATTTGTATTAGTTATCAGTTGAGGTCAATTATATATATCAGCATCTCATAAAGATTAAATCCATCTTGACTAACATATGGTATCATATAGGATGTAGGGTTAGGTTAGGTCTTAATGATGAAAAGTTAATAATGAAATCACACACACGAGCAAATGTGGCAATTAGCATACGAAGACGGGTTATAGTGGGAATGAATGTTTGGAAGAAGTCTTGTCTTGTCACTTAGTTGAAATATATTAATAATCTTACTTTGAATTGTATTCGAAAGTTAAAATTATATGCGCTTTGAACACCCAATTAGTAAATCAATTTTCCAAATCCGTGGACTAGATATGTAATTGAATTGGTATCGTGTAAATTCAATACATGATGGATTCGCATGACTTATTCCTTACTTGGACCAAGAATTAGGTCGAGAGTTTTATTCAAAAGAAACCTTCTCCCTCAAACCTCTAATAAGTTCAAATGAGTTTTATTACCGACCAACATGTCCGAGAGAGGAGAACAGTGATTGGTCCAGGTCACGTGAACTTAACATTTGGCAAATACTGACGGCAAGAAAGTGAGACGACCACACGCGCGAGATGTGAGCGCGTAATGAAGGACATTGGTCGTGAGAGACAACAAAGAGAATCAACCTCGTCTATGATAATTTCTTTTAGATTCTCTTCTCATTTTCGATACCTAACAAAAATAAAAACTCATACTAGTATTATTTTTGTTGGTTGGTCGTTGCAAAATAAAAATATCAAAAGCGACTGTCGTAATTATGATTTGTATATCATACACCAGATAATAAATAAAATAAACAAATCGGAATGGCTCTCTCCACTAAACCTAATATATTTTAATTTTTTAAAAAAAATATATACTTTTTTGGGCGGGGACAGGAACAAATATACTTAAGAAACGATAATTATGGCATAGGTTCTTCTTTGAGACCTTCTTCTGCTTTCTTTCTGTTGCTGTCTTGATGATTATAGCAATCTTTATGAATTATTTAATGATGCAACTATGGCGTTTTTTTCTCTTCTAATTTACAAAGGATAGCTTAAGCAAATTTAGAACAATTCATGTTGCTATTAAAAGTTTTATTTAATTTATGTAGTATGATAAAACTGGTTGTTTTCAATTGGTAAACTCGACCACAAATGTCACAAAAAACAACTTGTGTTTCTATCTTTTACTAACTTAAAAAAAAAAAATATATACAATAATTTTGACTTCAAATGCTATCAACTACATAAATGGTTGAAGATAGATAACCAAACAAAACACTATTAATGATCTAATGGAATCTACTTATCTAACAAACATATAAGTCCACTAGAAATTTGTGTTACCGTTTGGTTAGGGATGAGTTTGTGGTTTACAAAGATGGTAAAAGCCAACATTGAGTGACAAAGTGAACAACTCTTTCTCTCTCTTCATGATTTTGGTTAAATCGAAAAGGTAGTAAGAGAAACAAAACAAAAATAAAAACAGGAACGAAAAAAGTTTCAAATTTACATGCCATACCAACTAGACCCAGATCCAAAGTTGCAGACTTTTCAACCATTTTCAAAGTGTTTTACCCACACACACTTAAAGGATTAGAAGACTAATTATATATATTTTTCTCTTAAAATACTATTTCTTTATTGTGTGTGTTAGAAAGATATGAGAGCTGAGAGGAAGCACCAGAGAGGATAGACAAAGAGAAAAGGGAAAATTACCAGACAAGAGTTCTTTCTTCTCTGCGCCTTGCTTCTCTCTCTGTCTCTCTCTTTCTTAGTTTCTTTTTTGAGAAAAATTTAGAAGAAGGGGGAACGCTACAAAAAACTTCAAAATCGAGGTGAGTAATTCGTGTTGCTTAGTGATGATTATACCAAGGAGATGTTTTTTTTTCTTGATTTAATAGTTTTCACTTTCTTGTTTTCTGGGTTGTTTCAAAAGATCTGTCTTTTTGTGTGCTCTGTGTGTTATCTTTGATGTCTCTACTCTTGTTGGGATGTGAAGCTCATGATATTTTGAGGTGAGAGAGAGAGAGAGAACTCACTTGTGACTTGTTTTTGCTCTCTGAGCAAAATTCTCTTAAGCAAAATTGAAACTTTTTCAAGGTTTTCTAATAATATTCTGCATATTAAAATTTTCAGAATTTTACACTTGAAAGCTGTCTTCTTTGTCTCTGTGTGTCTCTCTTTGTTGCATAGAGCAAGCAAGTTTTGTGTTGATTTAGTCAGTTCACCTAATTCGAAGAGAAGTTAAAGATGAGCTAAGATTTGTCAAAAAGTTAAAACTTCCTTTTCATGGAAGCTCAACAAACTTAAAAACCTCTCTCTCCTTCTCTTTGGCAGTTTCTGTACCTGAGTTTCTTTGGATCTGCCTTTGATTTTCTTTCATTTGTCTTTTAACTGCAGTTTCTTTTGGATCATGCAGGTTCGAGTTTTTTTTTTTTTTGGCTACAGAGCAATCATGCTAATTTGCGCCTTTTCCCAAAATCTTATCCATCTATCTCGGTAAGAAATGCTTCTGATGACCAGTACACTGTTGTTTCTGGTCTTAAAATTCTCCATGCATAGATCTTAGAATTACCGTGAAGGATCTCTGTGTGAGTGAAAGTTAAAGGCTTTAAACCAAAGGTTGAGTTCTGTTGAATTGTGTGACAGGTAAGGAAAGTAATGTTGGCAAAATGGTGAAGAAAGGAAGTTGGTTTTCTGCAATCAAAAGGGTTTTTACTCCAAATACCAAAGAGAAGCTTGGCAATGTAAGCTTGTTACTCCCAAAGAAACATTTACTTAGCTTGCAAAAATGATGGGTTTTAAGGAGTCTTTGATGGTGATTGATGAGTTACTTTGGCTCTTGGTGACCATTTTATTTATATGCAGCAGGAAACAGAGAGAAAGACTGGCAAAGAAAAGAGGAAGAAAGGTTTTGGGAAGCTAAGGCATGGAGAGACCAATTCATTTCTTCCCATCTTCAGAGAGCCTAGTAGTATTGAAAAGATCTTGGGCGATGCCGAGAGAGATCACAATCTTGTTTTCAGGCCTCCTACTCCTGATCGACCAAACCCATTCTCAGCCTCTCCTCCTCTGAGGCCTGCTTCTCCTCGGGTTCCTTCTCCAAGACCAACTTCTCCAAGAGTTGCCTCACCACGAGCCGCTTCGCCAAGAGCTGAAGTTCCAAGATCCCTTTCGCCAAAGCCTCCTTCTCCGAGAGCTGAAGTTCCTAGATCCCGTACACCAAAGCCCTCTGATCGATCAAAGCCATCATCAGCCTCTGCCAATGCTCCTCCTCTGAGGCCTGCTTCTACTCGAGTTCCTTCTCAGAGAGTTACCCCTCCCAGTGTTCCTTCTCCAAGACCAAGTTCACCAAGAGGTGCCTCCCGACAAGCCGTCTCTTTAAAGCCACCTTCTCCAAGAGCAGAGCCACCAATATCGGACACTCCAAGACCTTCTTCGCCAAAGCTTCCTACTCCAAGAGCAGCTACCCTAAGAGCAGACCCACCAAGATTGGATGCTCCAAGATCCACCACACCTAAACCTCCTTCTCCAAGAGCAGACGCACCAAGATTGGATGCTCCAAGACCCACCACACCTAAACCTCCTTCTCCAAGAGCAGACGCTCCAAGATTGGATGCTCCAAGACCAACCACGCCTAAGCCCCCTTCTCCAAGAGCAGACGGACCAAGATTGGATGCTCCAAGACCAACCACGCCTAAGCCCCCTTCTCCAAGAGCAGACGCATCAAGACTGGATGCCCCACGTCCCACTACGCCCAAGCCACATTCTCCAAGAGCAGACCCATCAAGATTAGATGCTCCAAGACCCACTACGCCTAAGCCCCCTTCTCCAAGAGCGGTTTCGCCTAGGGCTATGCAGCGACGGGAGATTGTTTATAGACCAGAGCCAACACGTTCGGTCCAACATGCTTCTGCAACAAAGATTCAAGGAGCTTTCAGAGGTCACATGGTAAGTATACACATCTTTCTGTTTCTGTTTCTGTTTCAAGACTTTTCCATTACGCCTCCGTTTCCAAGACAAGGAAGTTATTGACTTGGATGAAACAGGCAAGGAAGAGTTTCAGAGCTCTCAAAGGTCTAGTCAGGCTTCAAGGGGTGGTGAGAGGATACAGCGTGAAGCGGCAGACGATAAATGCAATGAAGTACATGCAGCAAGTGGTCCGTGTTCAATCCCAAATCCAGTCACGTCGCATCAAAATGTTGGAAAACCAAGCTCAGGTTGAGAAAGATGAAGCCAAATGGGCTGCATCTGAAGCTGGTAACGATAATTGGGATGACAGTGTGCTGACAAAAGAGGAAAGGGACGCAAGATCACAGAGAAAGACTGACGCAATCATCAAGAGAGAAAGATCCATGGCCTATGCATATTCTCGCAAGGTAATACTCAATCCTTCCTCATGCCATCATCACGTTGATGGATATATTCAGTTTTTGCCAACATCCCTATCTCTGTGCAGTTGTGGAAAAACAGTCCCAAGTCTAGTCAGGGCATTCGTTCTTCAGGTGGGTTCCCTCAATGGTGGAACTGGGCTGACCGGCAGCATCCTCTTGCTAGTCCTGCACCGAGCTATAGCCAACCACTAAGAGATTTCAGGCTAACACCATCAAGACTGTGCCCAAGTCCTCTGTCTCAGTCAAGCAAAAAACACCATACTACCAGGCTTGACAACCACTTTGACACTTTCACACCCAGGTCGTCGAGATCTACAATGCACACTCCATCCAGAGCCATCCACACAGGGACATCAAGATACTCGAGAGGAAGACTAATAAGAGGTCAAGAATCTCCATTCAAGGATGATGACAGCCTCACAAGCTGCCCTCCATTCCCGAGCTACATGGCTCCAACAGTGTCTGCCAAGGCAAAGGTCAGACCAAACAGCAATCCAAAGGAGAGAGTGATGGGTACACCTATGAGCGAGAAGAGGAGAATGTCGTATCCCCCTGAACAACAAGGTCTCGATACTTTTAGATGGAACAAAGGGTCATTGCTCATGAGCAACAGCAACAGCAGGGGTCCTGGCTCACCTGGAGGTGTGGTTCTTGAGAAGCACAAGACACTTAAATCAGTAGGAAATTTGAGCATTGGTTCAACTGCCTCCACAGTTGGGAGAAAGGAATTTAACAGATTTGTGTGATCTCTTTTGATTGAATATTTTGTTGCTTTTGCTTCACTATGGCTGGTGGTGTTGATTTTGAGTGTTGTAACATAATAAAGTTATGAAACAAAGACATGAGAGGATTTGGCTTGAAGTAGAAACTTTTAGATTTGGTTAATACAATTGAAAAAGGTTGATAGTTGAACTTAGAACAGAGATGTTGTTTCCTTCCCCTTCTTGTCTCCACCGATCTCAAAGTGTTTTGCACCTCTAATGAACGAACACACGAGACGAGGAGGAAGCTATAGGGATCGAAATGAGAAAGTAACTCAGAAAATACCCTCTACGCTTAAATTTATGATTACGAGGCCTGTGTCGATCTAACGGGGCAATATAGGCCCATTTAAGTTCGGCGTTTCTTCTGTCCATGGAACATTCTAGTCTCCATCGATTACTGATTTCGCCTGCCGATCGGAGACATTACCGGAGATGAGCCACAGGCGACGAGGGAGGTATCGGATGGAGGGACTAACCATTCCGCCAGCGATACGATACAGACGGCGGCGGATACGAGAATGCTCGGATACATAACCGGCGATTAAGGTTTTTTTTTTCTCTTTCCAATTTTTATTTTAATTATTTTACTTATTTAGTCCTTCATGTATTCTCAAATCTATATTTTCCCCCAAAACTTTGAAAAGAGAGGTTTTCTCCTCGGCGTTACTTCTCTTTCCGGCTTATTCTTAAAACATGCTGTCATGTTTATAGATTAATAGGAACAATGCTCATGGCTCAGAGGTTATTAAAAAGAAAAGACATATCCATGCCATGTTTTTTATTATGAATTAAACAGATGTCTCTTAACTAGATAAGCAAGACTACTAAATTACAGTAAATATGTCTCTGATTTCAAAATCATTATCTATAATTTTATCTTCTAGTCAAACATATGTGTGTTCGGAGTAATCACATTGTTTGACCACTTCTTTGTTAAATATTGTTACCAAGACACTGATCTGCAACTCTATGGCTCTCTGTTTAAAATATTTGCAGTTCTTGTGATTAGCTCCATGTGTTTCGTGTATCTGAAGTCGTACGTTGACTATTACCTTGCTTATCAACGATATAAACTACAAAAACAAAAAGCTAAGTTCTCTTATTTCCTTGTAGACCACTCACTTAATCAATAATCATGCCTCGTAACTTCAACTTCTTGATGGTTCTGGTGATTGCTCTGTTTAACACTAAAATCTCATTTGGCAGGCTGGTTTTTGAGGGATCTACTGGTATGATCAATGGTTTCCCGACGTTGACAAACACCAAGAAGCACGTCTGTGGAGAAGCCTTCAATGACGAGCCATTCCCTTTCAAGAATTCAACTAACGGTAACATGACTTCTTTTTCATTTACCTTCTTCTTTGCTATCGTCCCTGAGCATAGAGACAGAGGCGCACACGGTATGGCCTTCGTGATCTCTCCCACAAGAGGCCTTTCAGGTGCCTTTGCTGATCAGTACCTTGGAATATTCAATGATACAAACAATGGAAAAAGCTCGAATCATGTCATTGCTGTGGAGCTTGATATTCATAAAGATGATGAATTTGGTGACATTGATGATAACCATGTCGGTATCAACTTTAATGGTTTGAGATCTGTTGTATCTGCTCCTGCCGGGTATTATGATCAAAAGGGTCAGTTCAAAAACGTTTCTTTGATCAGTGGGAATCTACTCCGAGTCACAATACTGTATAGCCAGGAAGAAAAACAGCTTAATGTCACCTTATCATCACCACATGAGGCTTATTTCCCAAATAAGCCGCTTCTAGTCTTGAATCAAGATCTGTCACCGTATTTTTTAGAGAAAATGTATTTTGGCCTCACAGCCTCCACTGGGTCGGTTGGAGCATTACATTACATATGGACGTTACATGCGTATGACATGGTTACAGTTCCGGATTTGGATTTCCCTGTGCCGACCTTTCCTCCATATCCGAAACCAAAGTCTCAGTTAAAGCGGACAGTTTTGGTGACCTGCTTGACATTAGCTCTTTTTGTTGCGGTTGCTGCATCAGCTTTAAGTCTTTTCTTCTATAGAAGACATAAAAAGGTTAAGGAGGTTCTACAAGAATGGGAAATCCAGTATGGGCCTCATAGGTTTGCTTACACAGAACTCTTTAAAGCCACAAAGGGTTTCAAGGACAAACAACTTCTAGGCAAAGGGGGGTTTGGTCAGGTCTACAAGGGTACTCTTCCAGGTTCCAATGCAGAGATTGCTGTAAAACGGATTTCTCATGATTCAAGACAAGGAATGCAGGAATTCTTGGCAGAGATATCGACAATTGGTCGTCTTAGACACCAGAACCTAGTCAGGCTTCAGGGATATTGTAGGTACAAGGAGGAGCTCTACTTGGTTTATGACTTTATGCCCAATGGAAGCCTTGACAAGTACCTCTACCACAGAGAAAATCAAGAGCACCTCACTTGGGATCAACGTTTCAAGATCATTAAAGACATAGCCTCTGCACTCTGTTATCTGCATCAAGAGTGGGTACAAGTTGTAATTCATCGAGACATCAAACCGGCAAATGTCCTGGTCGACCACCAAATGAACGCAAGGCTCGGGGATTTCGGATTGGCTAAGCTTTATGACCAGGGTTATGATCCTCAGACATCTAAAGTAGCTGGAACGTTTGGATACATCGCACCTGAGCTCATAAGAAGCGGAAGAGCAACCACAGGGACAGATGTCTACGCCTTCGGGCTGTTTATACTGGAAGTTTCTTGTGGTAGAAGGCTGATAGAGCCACGAGCAGCCACCAACGAGGTCGTTCTTGCAGAATGGACATTAGAATGCTGGGAAAACAGAGATATTCTTCAGGCAGCCAGTGAAATACTTCACCAAAAACACAATAGAGAACAAGTCGAGCTTGTTCTTAAATTGGGAGTGCTATGTTCGCACCAGGTTGCAGCAGTCAGACCGGAGATGTCTAAAGTAGTCCGGGTCTTGAACGGTGACTGGCAGCTTCCGAGTAATTTGCTGGACATTGTCAAGGCCGAGAGGGTTAGAATTTGGTCTGAGACATGTAATAGTGTTCCATCAGAGGAGTCCATCGGTACCTTGACATTTACGGAACCCTTCACTTCCTACGGACGCTGAAAGCTGATGTCAAGGTCGATCGTGCAATAATATATGACGTTGTTACCCTAGTAATATATTATGTTGTTCATCTTACTGTATTGTTAATCGCTTGAATGTGCCTTGTGGTTTCTAATCTACTTGAGTCGCCTATTACATTACTAGTTTCTATATTTGTAGAAGCCCATATAATATATGGTGAATGTCGTATCTTGGATCTGGTTTGGGAACTGTTTTAATGTAGACATGAGGCCAGATCGCCAATTTTGTAACATAAGATCGATCACTCGGAGGTTTGATAAAATAATATATTCCTTAAACAAGGCTGTGCTTCAGTGGTGAACAGATGTCATAGGGTCGACCATTTTCTAATGTTGATCTTTATAGAATATTATCTTCTCATTGCCTGACCAATTCTTTGGTTATAGCATCATGCATGATTCATGGATGATTTGGACACCATGTTAGTTAACTGATTTCAAACACTGGTTCTGTAATTATATAGCTCTCTGTTTTAGAATATTTTGCAGGTCTTGTTATTAGTTTCGTGTATCTGAAGTCATCACTTGACTTTTTCCTTGCTTATCAAATATATAACAAGACAGACCAAATATTCTTCTTCCCTTGTAAACCACCCAATCAATCAATAATGATCATGTCTCGTAAAATCAACTGGTTGATGGTTCTGGTGATCATTGCTCTGTTTCATCTTGAAAACTCACATGGAAAGCTGATTATGGAAGAATCCGCTGGGTACATCAATGGTTTCACGACGTTGACAAACACCAAGAAGCACGCCTATGGTCAAGCCTTCAACGACGAGCCGTTCCCATTCAAGAAATCGATCAATGGTAACGTGACTTCTTTTTCATTTACCTTCTTCTTTGCTATTGTCCCTGAGCATACACACAGAGGCTCTCACGGTATGGCCTTTGTGATCTCTCCCACGAGAGGAATTCCTGGTGCGTCCGCTGATCAGTACCTCGGTATCTTCAACGATACAAATAATGGAAAAGGCTCCAACCACATCATTGCTGTGGAGCTTGACATACATAAAGACGATGAATTTGGTGATATTGATAATAACCATGTTGGTATCAATATAAATGGTATGAGATCTACGATATCTGCTCCTGCCGGTTACTATGATCAAAAGGGTCATTTCAGAAACCTTTCTTTAATCAGTGGAAATCTACTCCGAGTCACGATTTTGTATAGCCAGGAAGAAAAACAGCTTAATGTCACCTTATTACCAGCAGAGGAAGCTAATTTCCCGCAGCAGCCACTTCTTTCGTTGAACCAAGATTTATCACCATACCTTTCGGAGAATATGTATGTCGGCTTCACAGCCTCCACTGGGTCGGTCGGAGCAATACATTACATGTGGATGTGGTATGTTTTTACCTTTATTATTGTCCCAAAACTGGATTTCGCTATACCAACCTTTCCTCCATATCCCAAGGCAGAGTCTCAGGTAAAGCGGATTGTTCTGGTGACGTGCTTGACTTTGGCTCTCTTTGTTGCGATTGCTGCATCAGCTTTAAGTGTTTTCTTCTATAAGAGACATAAGAAGGTTATGGAGGTTCTAGAGGATTGGGAAATCGAATGTGGACCACATAGATTTTCTTACAAAGAACTCTTTAATGCCACAAACGGTTTCAAACACCTTTTAGGAAAAGGAGGGTTTGGTCAGGTCTTTAAGGGCACACTTCCAGGTTCAAATGCAAAGATTGCTGTTAAACGGGTTTGTCATGGTTCGAGTCAAGGAATGAGAGAATTCTTGGCGGAGATATCGACTATTGGCCGTGTTAGACACCCCAATCTAGTTAGGCTTCTTGGTTATTGTAGGTACAAAGAAGAGCTCTATTTGGTATATGACTTTATGCCCAATGGAAGCCTTGACAAGTACCTCTATGGTGGATCAGATCAAGAACAGCTCTCTTGGACTCAACGTTTCAAGATCATCAAAGATGTAGCCTCTGCACTCTCGTATCTCCATCATGATTGGGTACATGTCGTCATTCACAGAGACATTAAGCCAGCAAACGTGCTAATCGACGACAAGATGAATGCAAG